ACTCCAGCTTATCTCATGTTTGCCAGAGAAATGAGGTCGCCCACCGAAGCTCGTCATGATTTGAGAGCCATCCTGGATAAAGAAAACTTTCTGCCTCAAATTACGCCTTACTTAAGGACCTTTATTCTAATCTATCTGCGGTTCGTGAAAGAGTTGAAGTTCAGCAAGATCAATCCAAGAGGGTCGCTGACCAGACACGTCGGCCAAGTCAAACTTACAAGGTAGGGGATAAGGTTCTAGTCCGAACTCATGCATTGAGTCAAGGAAGCAAGGGCCTGACGGCCAAATTCTTTCCCAAGCGTGATGGACCATATGTGATTACCGAGAAGGTTAGCCCTACCACCTACATTATCTCTTCAATTGAGAATCCAACTGAATCCCTCGGGAAATATCATACTCAGGATTTGACGCCATTCGTGGACAGTGGTCTAGATAGTAACGTACCACCCAATCCTATTCTTCCCAAACGACGTCGCGGACGTCCGAAATGCCAGGGCCCTGACCTAGTCCCGGAGCGAGGACGCTCTCCAGAACTAGAGGGGGAGTCTGTCGCAAGCCGAATTGGCCCACGGGCTTCCGGACGCCGCCACGCCTGCATTCCCGCTCGTTTCCGAGACTACGCACTGGAGGCGTAAGAGCGGGACAGAAGTATATAGAAAACGCGCCATGACATTCGGCGGCGCGGTGCCGAACGACGGAACGACCGTTACTTCAGTGAGTCGACGCAGGAGCGCGCGAGAGGCAGCGAGTGTTCGTGTCGATCGATCCGCCGCGCGTGCTCTCATAACGGTCCTACACGAAAATGCTGTTTTATCCTAGTACCAAATTATACCTAAAATAATATATTCCAGAGGAAAGTTTCGAATCGATCTTTGATTTGAAATAATGATATTATCCAACATGCGCTACGTCACTAGCGGTCACGCAGTTATGACTCTGGCGTGTGAGGACATTCTTTTTTCAGAGTTTATTTCTTTCTTTTTAACGTAAAATTTCTCAATATTTATAATGCAATTTTATTAGTTTTATGGAAATAAATAAATTTTGGACCTTCTATTTTACAGGTATATAAATGATTAGGCATTAAAGTAATGTTTAAATAGTTTATTTCGTGTTTTAATGTACCGCTGTTTTTGTCACATATTTGTGTCGTTGGCGCTCAGGGACAGTTTTCGCTTGTCACGTATTTGTGACCCTGGCGCTCAAAAGGTTAAGGGGGGAAAATCATCGAATGACTGCTCCCGCCTGGGTGAGGCGAAAGGGAGTGTCAGACTCTTACTGACTAAAAACCACCCCGTTCCTTCTCCTGCACGTCGAGCCGGAGCCCCGGTTACCCGTTAGGTTCTCCGCGACTTCCTACTGGGGTACCGTTACCCCAGCCAGACCTTTTTCTTTCTAATGGGAATATTTAAATAATTACTAGCTATAAAATTAGTTGTCTAGACGAAGTAAATGTTGTGCCTTATTTTGTATTTGTTCTTTCATCGATTACGAAGTTATTCCTTATCATATTTTGCACATGGCTTCTTAGGAATTAGTTTAAATTTGTTCTGCAATAAAAAAACCAAAATAATACATAGCTTAAAGGTTATTACATTAAATAGAAACACAATTGGTCCCAGCCACAGGTCCCAGCACTCTCAATAAAAGCTCTAAAGACTTATTTTACTGCAACTTACTATGATGTTCTGCATTTTCACTTTTTCGTGAACAATTACTGAAGCCGCACAACTAATTATCTGATTCAAATGACGATTTTCGACAACATCTGGCCTGGGTAACGCACACGAGCGATGAGGAGGAAAATGTCCTATGTCTTATAATCTGGGGTTGATATTTATGTTTATTTTACTGTTTAATGTATCATATAGTACCTATACAGGCATGCGTGCTGCTCATGCCGTAATAATAATTGGACCCTTTGGACCTCATACCTATTTTCAAAAGCAGCCTCATTATCAGAACTGTTGGCGCTAACTTCTTCTCAACTGACCTGCTCCTTTTCATTTTTTCTTTTCTAATATCTCCTCTTTCTAGAAGAGGATAGTACTTTCAAGAAACAGTCGGAAACCAAAAACTCTTCAATATCAACTACACTGTCAGATTGATCTGAAGCCTATCAGACATTAAATTGATTGAATTCATTTTGAAAAGATGGACTACCTACTAGTAATATTTTTCTATTTGACGAATTCGTGGGCTAGAGTTAACATCCCTCACGTTTTTTGCCATTTTGCACAAAAAGTAACAAGAGATTACGAAAACATTTTGTACGACATGTAGTCTCACAGGCGTCAGCCAATTTTATAATTGATATATGTTACGTGTTAACCAACCGAACTTCGGGTACCTACGGAGACAGGTCACCGACTGGTACGACACCCTCTTTAAACATCAAACACAAATGCCCGTCTTATGAAGTCTATGCTCCGACCTAACTTGCTCCTACCGTTGTCGGGTCTGAAACCTTCCAGCTAAATCTGGAAAACCGATTCCCTGTCTTGGAAACCACAATAGACTCTGATATTGACCAAAAACTCGACCAAATCGTCTGGTTCTTTGGGATGAGGGGACGAAAATGTAGCGCGCGCAAAATATCGGCATGAGGGCGAGGCTTTCGGGGTAGTCCCTGCAGCTGATGAAGAGGCGACGTGAAAACCCAGCAGTCGCCTCGTCGTATCTAAGTAAAAAGACCTCGAAGCAGGTAAGATGCGACCTCTGATGCTCCAACACACGCGCTATAAAAGAAGCGATCCAGAGAAATCGGGGGTAAAAAGTCTTTATCCAGCAACTAGAACTAGATCTTTGTCAGGTCAGCTTCGTCAGATACGAAGCTGACCACATTTGATGGGAAAGTCGTCGCTTCTAGGCCGGAGATTCTCTAAGCGTCACAAGCACTCTGACCCCAATCATACTCGGGGGATCCCAGGGCCACACTTGTCCACCGCTTCACTGAAAAGCTGCCAGAGGTCAGCTAAGACGAAATCGTGGTGGCTTTGGGGTAGTTTAAATATGGGAAAGCCCCCCGTGAGTACGGAATTAAACCAGAACTCCTTAAGGCAGATGGAATATCGATTCTTGAGCGGTTCTAAAGCATATTTAATTCCGTTCTCCTCACAGGGAAAACTTCTAGGGCGTGGAGCAGAAATATTGTCGTTATGTTCTTCAAAAAAGGAGTTATAAAACGCTTTTGAAGAACATATCGTCCTTTTTGCCTTTTGAGCCACGTCTATAACCTGTTTTCCAGGGTCATCACGAATCGTCTCGTGCGAAGGCTTGATGAGTTTCAGCCCCCCGAGCAGGCCGAGTTCTGAGGAGGATATGGCACCATATAGCACATTAAATGGATGAGGCAGATTATACAGAAGACCGAGGAGTGTAATCGGCTTCTATGCTTGGCGTTCGTGGACTATGAGAAAACCTTTGACTCTATCGAGATCTAGTCTGTTCTGGATTCTTTGCGATGGTGTCAAGTCGACTAGCGATATATCCAAGTGCGAGAGACCTGTACGATGCTGCGACTATGGCCGTCCAAGTACAAAATCAGCAATCTGAACCTATCCACCTGCACCGAGGAGTGAGACAAAGGGATGTTATATCCCCTAAATTGTCCACAAATGCTATGGAGTACCTATATTATTAAGATGTCGCATTGGAAAGGACGGGACGGCACATCTCTCACACTTGAGATCTGCACATGATATCGTCATCGTGGCTAAAACTGTGCAGAACTTACAATGTATGCTGAGTAGCCTGGCTGAAGCTTCCGCACGCATAGGGCTCCGAATAAACTTGGACAAAACAAAAATAATGTTCAATGAACATATCCTTCCTAAGACAATTGTCCTCAACGTGTTGCCTATCGAAGTTGTTCAGGAATACATTTACCTGGGACAAACCCTGCAGATTGGTAGGAACAGCTTTGAGACGGAGGCCAATAGAAGGAAACAACTTGCTGGGCTATGTATAACAAACTCAATTAAATCTGAAGACAAATGTCTTCAACGAGTGCGTCCTTCCAGTTTGCTTTGCATTGCATTGCCTTGCAATTGACATACGGAGCCGAGCCGTGGATACTGACAGACTTGTCCACCGATTTAAGGGCGCGCAGCGAGCTATGGAGCTATGAAGTATTGAATCCGAAACGAAGTGATCCGACAGAGAAACAATGTTATCAACATAGCCCAAAGGAGGAGGATGGACACTCAGAGAGACACTAACCGGTCTAAACTGGCAAAAAGTAAGCTCAACGGGATTCTTTTATCCGATTTGGAGTGCTGTCAACCGGGATTGGGTGGCGAGTAGATAGAGTGGATTCTTCTAATTTTACCAGTCTTATCTTTTATAGAAAACGACGAAGGATACTTGTATAGAATTTTGGACGCCACTGAACGTGATCAGACAATGAACAATTTGTGGATGATTCCAAGTTTGGTATTGCATTTTAGTCGTTATTCTTAACGGTTGACAATAGATAGCACTAATATTGCTTGGTGTGCCGATTGGGATTTTTCCAAGTGATTATAGGTATTCTTTATGATTTCTGTTTAGGCTGAACAATGATTTTCAATATTAGGTAATGAGTCGGTCGATTTGGCGTCCCCCTGATCGTGCGCGCGTGTGCTGAGCACGCTTTGCACGCCCGCTTACGGCGGGCCTGCGTAAGAAAACACAAAAGAAAAAGTAAAATCTTGTTGAACAGCAAGTATTAGGACTGCTAAAAGCTAAAAGTGTTTCACTAATCTTATTTCTGATCATTCTCATAACCTTACCGATCACCTGATGTCGGTTGGACGTCGTCGACTTTTGGAACGTTGTATAATGTCTCAGGATGAGGACCAGTAGTTAGTAGTTAGGACCGGTAGTTCCAACTCAGTCTTTTGTGTATTTGTGATAGAAAAGACATTACTTTTAAGTGAAACACATGAAAAATATTTATCCTTATCCTTTATTGAAGATCATTACAGAAAAAATGACGCAATTCCGAAAAATATTTTAATCTATTTGTCCTCGTCTTTTTCCTTATCCTTGGTCTTAGGCTTTACACTGCGTTCTCGATCGCGTGACCTTTCGCGGTCCCTAGAACGATCTCGTTCCCGTTCACGAGAACGATCTCGTTCTCGAGATCGTTCGCGCGGTCTCGGTGAACGCGACCGAGATTTGTGACGACGAGACCTCGAACGCGACCGTTCCCGCCTGTACGACCTGTGCAGAAAAAAAATTAATTACCACATATTTCAAAATAAATAAGTAAGGTGTAGGTAGTAAGTTATTAAAAAATCTACTAAACGGTTGCAACATACTACGCTAAGAAAGCACTTAATATTCAGTAAAGTAAGAAAAGAACAAGTATTTACTCACTTGCGACTTCTAAAACAAAGCAACAGATATCATAATTTAAGTAAAGTAATTGATAATTGTTGATTCGGTTTCATTATAATATTTTCTAAGTTGTTGGGGTGTATTACTGTCTTCTACAAGACATCAGAACTATAAAAAAATGTTTACTCACTTCTCTCTTATCCGGTCAGGTTTGATGGAACGTGAGCGATCTCGTTCCCTGTCTCTATCCCTCTCCCTGTCCTCCTGTGAAACAGAGAACCAGGTAAATTAGTTTATAATTGTCCTACATTAAATTAGTTTATACTATTATGGTGGATGGCAAGGACATAGTATTTATACTATTATGGTGGATACAATACAAGCTTAGTAAAACTAAGCTCAAGTACTTTCTTTACTGACTGTACCTACTTCAAAGGATAAAATAATGTAATAAATAATACAAACAATAACAAAATCGAGAAGACATACCTCATCCCTCCTGTCACGGTCTCTCCTATCACGATCGTCCCTCTCTCGCATGCGGTCTCTGTCACGATCCCGTTCACGATCACGGTCGCGGTCGCGGTCGCGGTCGTGCATGTGAGGCGGTGGGTGCGGTCGGTACGGCGACACGTACGGTGGCGCCGCCATCATGTGCGGGGGCGCTGACATGTGCGGCGGACCTAGTGGCTGGCCCATGTTCATCGGCGGACCAACCGGAGGACCCATCGGACCTGGCGTCAGTTCCTTGATCTCACTTGGCGCCCAGCCACTCTGTTCCGGATGGCCTGTAAAATAGAATTGGTCGGATTTGTTATCTACATTTATGCATGATAGCTACTAGCTAGGCAACCAGCTGACGTGGTGCGGTTTAATTATCTGACATGCAAGAAAATCTGACCGCGAAGCAAATCCAATAACTTTTATAGTGTGGAATACAAGAGGACATAACATACCCCATGGTTCCTCGTAGGGAGCATGTGGAGGTGGTTGGAAGTAGTGATCGTTAGGAGGAGGCCCGAAATATTCAGGCGCACCCATTTCTCGCTGGTGACCACTGCGCCCGTACTCGCGACGTTCCGCTGTCATCACCTAAACAAATTATGTTGTATGTATTCTACAGTAAAATCTCCAATTCCACGTGTTCTTGCTGCCTCATGAAGGTCATGAAGGTCTACCTGGATCGTGACTTGTTTAATGTTAAGTATAACAGGCTCTAATGTCTGTTTGCCTAGTGTATTGTGAGCAGAACCACATATAAAAATGTTATTTTATCTGTTTACAGATTTTGTGTATGTATATTAATTATTATTACTGTTATTTCATTTTAATTCTAAGCTGTACATATTGTATTTTGTTTCGTGTTTTACTATATTTTCTTATTTACTTTTAACACCTTTTTTATATTATTACTTTAATGTAGTTTTCTTTTTTTATATATACCATGTTAATCAATAAACAAATAAATAAATAGTATAATGTAGATTCTAAGAATGTTATAATAAAAATTTTAATAAGAATGGTAATGAGATCACTGAACATACCTGTATAGTATTTTCTCTAGACTGGTAATTATTTGCCATTGATGGTGGTGCCATTTCATCATTTCTTCCGGGACCTGGAACATTTTCAAAATAATTAAATTTTGACTAAATGAAAACAAATAAACTGCCCTAATTGTATTCTATCAACATGTTTACTAAAGGAGAATTTATTAATTGATCTAGAGCTGAGATCCATTACTTGCTTTATAGACATAATGAGAGATTATTCAACTTAGTTATTAACAAAAAATCACGGGTTACTTACGTGATTATACTTAGAAAAGCTCAACTAGTTTCGAACCACCGTAAGCGTTCGCAAGTAGCAACACCGATCCGACCGCCAACGCTAGCCAGTAGGCTGCGCGACATCGTCGCAACCGCGCACGCTGCTCATGAGGAAGAACCCCTCGGTGGTTCGAAACTAGTAGTCTTTCTCAATATATTTACGTGAGTAACCCGCGATTTTTAGTTAATTTAGTATGTCTCATAATAGTCATTATAAAAACTCAGTTATTCAAATATATCTTTAAGATAGAAGAGAGAAATATCTGTTACACCAGGAATGGGTCTGCAACATATAACATTTTGATAGCTTCAGTAAGGATGCATGCAGTTTTAATTTTGGCCCTTAATAAGAAAGTTTGCTCACTACCAGGTAAAGTATAATGGTAAGGAATTAATATTCCTTGCACTAAACAGTCATACCAGGAGGTCTCCTGAGGTCAGGTGCCGGAGGACGAGGAGGCGCTCCCACATGCAAGCCTACGCCCGCCTCATTTACACGCATGCGCCGTTGTCGCTCACAGTATGCGCTCCAAGTTACTTCATTGAAACCATAGTTGAAATAATCTGAAATCATCAATAATTAACACTTTTGTAAAGGCATCATTTCATTTTCTGTAAGTGGATATCTTTCTAAATCAAATCATTCATTTCAATTAAATCAAACAATACTTTTGATATTTCTGGGTTATTAACTCAACTTCAAACTATGGTGCTAGAAAATAACATAGTTGATTTTCAGCTTAATTAAATATGTAGGTTGTAAGCCTCTTTTTTGAGGGCATTTATAGAAAAATCAGACAAGTTCCTATTGCTATAAGCATAAAATCCTTAAAAGTTACCAGAAATATCAGCTCCAGGCTTGTTCCAAGGTTTATCTTCAATAGTATCAATGTTAAATTCCAAAGCAGGCACTCCATTGATACTCCCAGGTCCATCCAAGTCATCTAGAGTTACTTTGCCACCTGTAGTGGTACCAGTGCGAGGTTTCTCCGCAGCACCAGTGGCTACTAAACCTACGCCTCGCTGAAAAGAACAGTAGACACTTGTTTGATTGTACTAACAAAGCCAAAAACATACATTTTAAGTTATGCATGAGGATTTAAAGACCATCAGTCAAGACATATTTACACAAAACATTATGTAATAGCCACAGCACTCTTTACTACATTTTTAGTTTAGTTTGGTTGCTTATGAAGAAATGTATAAGTCACTATGTAGTAATGAAATATTTAAATAAAACTGGACTTAATGATAATTGATTGACTTAGGAGTTCCATATATGAATTTATATTTTTAAAATTACTTTAAATATGACTTTCTATTAGTAGTAAAGTTACCTTTATATTGAGACTAGCATAAGCCTGGGGTCCTGATTTAATCTCTCCGATGGTAACTTTTATGTCATCACTGTCGTCGGAGTCAGAGTCTCCATTGTTCTGGCTATCTCCGTCTCCATTGCGATCATCTCCTTCACGCGCAACTTCCGCAAAATGTTCGTCGTTAAAATGATCATCAGCAGCTTCATTATCCTCCTGATCCTTATCTTCATTTTCCTGAGGAATTATATAAGTTGATTAGCAATTTTATCTACTTTTACGATATAATAATTAACGTCACACTTTACTTCTGCCAAGGAAATGAGAAATTTTATTCTTATAAGTGTAAATAAATCAGAAACTTTCTACTATTCAACTTATTTATAGGTTATGTTGGTAGACTTACGTTTGCGGTGTCAGCGATATCAGCTTGATCCTTTTCTTTTTCAGCATCTTCTGAAGGTTTGTCTGTTATCTGATCAGGATTAGATTCACCATATAACCAACTATCATCATTTTCATCTCCAGGTGCTGTTTCAACAGCAGCGTCTGCCATTTTTCAAAAAAATAAAATTACAAGTTTTGTTTGACAACTGATTGGCTTGATTTCAAATTGTCAATTTGATGTGACGTTTCATTCATCTCGTAGTCACCACAGAGTACAACACAAGTCCACAGATTATAAAAACGGAACGAACTACTTATATTCACGCTTCACGCACTGACCATTTTTTTTAAATTTGATCGACTTTAAAAAAGCATGTTCTCAGTTTGACCTCTGTATATGTATGTGCGTGATTAACTCACGCATTGGCTAAATCAATTTGAATGAGCAATACCGAGGAAGTTCAAGTCGGTGTTTTAGACGTTGATTAGTTGTGTTATTCAGATTAAAACTGGCATCAGACACGCATTATTAATAATATTTATGATCTTTAATGATGCAAGCTATGAATATGACTCATATATGTTCACTGTCACTGACATGGCCCAGATACGAGTTTAGTATATGGTATAAAAGGATAATGTGTGGTCCGGTCCTTTTTCCAACGAATACCTACCTACCTATTTGCTATTCGCGGTACACAAACTATATCCGCAGTAACCTTATGTTATGGACTCACGACGCGATTCTGAATATAGATTTATTTTCAATACTCCCGCAGCCCCCGCGGTTGCGATTCTCGCCTGCAAGCTTGGCGGTTGATTTACCGCAGGCAAGGGCGGTTAAACAATCAGTTGCCTTGTTTGTGAAGTGTAACCTACACCTATTTCTAAAAGGTCAAGAGAATCCAATACGTACAAAATTTGTAAATAAATTATATCCAGTGACATGTAAAACTGCATTGGTAAAAAAAGTTTTTCTGGTATTGCACCTCGCATTTACAATAAGGTACCAGATGTTATAAAAAGTATGACTGTTTTGAATTTTTTTCTTCGTGGTGTCGTGGTGACCCGGTGGTTTAAGAAGCCCGCTTCTCACCTGGGAGGCACCTGCAGCTGTAGCCGCGTCTCTCAAGCCACTCCTCAAGGAGGGGACTTACCTTAACCAACATGAGAATATGTAATATGAGAATGCAAGCTTGCCCTGCATGGTGTGGTGGTTTACAGTAACTACAAAATATTTATTATACCATGCAAAAATATGATCTACGGATACTACAGTAGCTTTGCTCACTTATTATAGTAAACCAGGTACAGAAGATCAGGTAAATAGGAAAAAAAAATTTAATACTCTTTAATTTCAGTAAGTTTGAATAAATAAATGATCTATATAAAGATAATCAAGCAATATAGTTTTATCACAAGTTTCAGTTGTTAGTCAAGTCCATTTCGTCTTCGAGGGAACATCTTCTGCTCAGTTTGTTCTACTTTTTGAGCAACATTAGCCAATTGCTCAGATGCATCTGAAGCGGCAGCACCACATGTTTCAGCCAATTCTTGCACACCTTGAGATACCTGCACAAATAAGAAATTTAATGAAAAATTAACAATACTAATGAACCAAGAGAAACAACATTCACAACTCTTGTGACATTTTCAGCAAGAAAATTACATTTTCCAAATACAATTTCAAGTTTGGAAAAGCACTGGTTGTTTACAAATCATAATCATTATAAATGGTATAAAAAATAACTAAAATAAGTTATACTTACAGCATCAGCCTCCACCTTCACTTCAGCGGCAGCAGCTTGCATGTTGTTGACTACTTCTTGCATCTGAGCTGTATGCTGAATAGGTTCCGATTCAAGTACTGATGCTGCCTGAAATTATTAAAATTTATTTTAAACTATAGCTGACTATGACTCATACTTAATTATTTTTAATTTTTTCTATTTTCAGCATTCCCCTAAGTAACCGAAAGTACCTGTTTGCAGCGGTGCATGCAGTGACAATGATGCTTGATGACTGGCTCCGCAGCTGCCACTTCATGCATATGCATTTCATTCTGCTGCATCTAGAGTTTTTATCAAATTACAGTTTAGTAAAATAAACACAAGTTTTACCTATGTACAATTAATATTAAATTACTAATCTAATGTTTTACTTCTATTCAAGAAACATATGCTAATATTCGCAACTTCTGTTGTGCATTTTTGCAGTACTTACGTTCTCAACGAAATTCGGGTCAGTATAGTTGTTCAGTTCAGATGCCATTGGCATTGCCTCAGATAGTTTCTCATGCCCGGCCGTAGCATTGTTGATAGCTTGCGCAGTATTGAGCAGGTTCGCAGTAGCAGTATCTCCTTGCTGTCCATCAATTGGAGCATTCGCTGCCAAACCAAGTTTAGCTTCCAACTGCTCAATTCTGCTTTGTAAAATCGAAATCGGATCCATTTTTCAGGTGCTAGTGACTATTAATTAATTATGTAAAAATATATAAATAAAACTAATCTAAAGAACTATTTTTCAAATGCCTATTAAAATAAAATAAATGAAAATCGCAAAATTCGAACGTAGGCCCACAAGTATTGTTTTTTAGACTGACTTTGACATTTGTTTTGTTGCTATTGCCAGTTCCAAAAGTTTAAATTGTAATTTTGTTTTCAGTTAATTAACAGAAATAATTTTGATTTTTCAAACCACGAATATTTGAAATAGTTGCACTAAATCTGTTTTATTATTAGAATTATATTGTAGATTGATTTGCAACAATTTACTGATTCCAATAGTAAGCTTAGTTACTAACTATAAGAATGGCTAACACATAAACAGGATCTACGTCATGACGTGATTCATGGGAGGTTGTTATACTGTCACCGTCAATGCCGTCAAATTGTCAATGTCAAAAAGTTTAGTAAAATAAGTAGGTAATAGCAAAGAGTATAATAAGTATAGGGGTAAAGAGTTGCCACTCGTCAAAATTTATGCCAATCAATTTGAAACGCCATCTGAAAATTGAATCCTAGTATATTTTTTTTTTTACTAATGTCTACAGATAATCCTAAGTATAGCTAATGCCAATACTACCAACAATGCACCTTGCAGGTTGGTACATTGAAGGTAGTATTGGAATTAGCTATGTCTGGTAGCTGCAAAATCAAAGAAGTTATTAATTACAATATTACATTTATTTTACAGTAAATACAAATTAACATTTAAAAATTATCAGCTAGTAGGGAAATATCAGACGACAGATTTGTTCAAAGCATATTTCAAATTTTAGTTCTTTTTAATTTTATGTTTACAAATTTCAGATATAAATATGTCGTTCAAAATTTATTTGAATTAGTTATTTTTTTAATTGTTAATCCCACAAAGAACTAAAATTAAAAATATTTACTGTTCACCGTTGTTTACACAGTACCTAACAGTAGTTAACAATCTAATGATATAAATTAACCGTAATACCAACACAAATGTAGTACATTTTACCATCGATTTGAATCGCTTACAGTATTTACAAAAACACAAAATTATTATACAATTTACATAACATAACATACATAACATCACGCCTTTTTATCCCCGAAGGGGTAGGCAGAGGTGCACATTTCGGCACTCAATGCCACTGTACAATGTAACACCCACTTTTCACTATTTATGTTATAAGTCCCATGTAATAGGGGGTGAGCCTATTGCCATATACCGGCAGTGTTGCCAACCCCAAAAAATAAAAAAACAACAACTCACTTAAAAAAAAAACAGTAGAAAGCAGTAGGTAAAGAAAAAAGCGCTAATTTCATATTTTTGGTAATATAATTAAGTAATGAATACCTAATTGTTTAAGTGACTAGAACTCACATTCAAATGAATAGCAATCGGTTATTTCGGATTTTGTCCTTTAATAGTTGTAGTCGATGTTCTGATACGTAGGTAATTTGGTTTTCGTAATATTTATAGCAGAAAATAACCTTTCTACGACGGCACTGCTATGTGGTCTTACTGTGGTAGGCACAAAAGCTTTTTTACTATGTAAATCATGCAACGCAAGGAACGTTTGAGAGTCTCCTCCATTCTTTAATTCTTGTCCATGTTTCAAATATCGATAGTATCGGGAATTTTGTTTTGGTATAAAGAAAACAGTAGAAAATAAGAATGAAACAGAAAACATGGACATCAAAGCAAAAACAGCAAATCTACTGTTAAAACAGTAGGGTTGGTAACAGTGTATACCGGGCACATTTCCAGACTACTCTACTACTACTTATTATTATAATGTCGAAAAATATAGTGCTTAAAAATAAGTCTCAGTCTGCCTCTCAGTCAGTCTCAGTTTTTTAGTACTTTTTTTTGCTAGTTGCTAATAATGCCTGACTTAGTCGTTTCCTATATCTAGTTATATTACAGTCATTTTTACTAAACAACTACAGATTTTTCCTATCCTCAAATATAATATTTTTATAACATTATAATGAAACAAAGTAATATTATTATTATAAATACAAATGAAAATGAAACAGGCAAAATAATGTGGGAAATCCCAATTCAGACAGACTTCACAGTTGCCCACAACAGACCGGACATAAAAAACATCCAACACCACATACCTCTTTGACATAACTGTACCATGTAACTACAACATAGGAGCAAAAGAAATTCAGTAAATACCACTTTTTAAAGACACAACTCAAGGCTAGACGCCTTGAAATATTGAAACGCATGTTAATTCTATAGTAATTGGAGCCACAGGAGTAGGTACTTGCCAAAAGCCTCAGCAGATACACAGACAAACTAGAAACATAAATAGACATTAGCCACCATTCACACAATAATCATTCTTAGCAAAGTACTAGGAGACACAGTTTTCGTCACATACATTCCAGATTCCGATCAATTACAACCATCTCAAGCGCAAACACCACATACCACTCCGTCAACCATCACATGAAGCTCACAATCCACATCTGGCACACAAACTACACCCAGTTAGTAGCCAAGTAGTCAGCAGAAGAGAAAGAAGGAGATTTATAAGTCAAATTTAGAAGGGGCTATGAGCATCGTTTTTCCTGCGGGTTGCGGGAAGCGGTGCCCATTTTCACCAGGTCAAGCCCAAGAAGGAGAGACCTCTACTATATGAATACAAATAAGTAAAACCTAGAATAATGCTGCCAGTCTTTTGGGCACCCTACTCCACAATAGCGATGAAAAAGAATTTTTTGATGCCCTAAGGTAACATTTTTTTTAAGGTGTGAATATGTACCTATTTTAGTTTATTTATAATTTAATATTACTTTGATGTGCGTAGGTACTTAAAATGTTGTTCTAATTATGATATATACATTAATACAAAGATAAAAATAGTTTTACAAAAATAATACGGCTTTAATATTTACAGCGATCTATGGGTTTCTTGAGACAACAATATACGTCTGAATGTTAGAATAATTCCAAATAGTACCTGAAAAAACAACAAAGATTATTTTTACATGCAGAAATATGTATTTTATTTATTTGTTTTCTTTTATTTATCTAAGGTAGGTGTACCTTACGTGATATTACTGATGTTACAAGAATAATATAGTATTTCCTCTTCTCTAAAATAGGTTTCAAGCACTGCTGGTATAGATCGGCACTTTATCCGGACATCGTAAGACTCGTAACTGCCGATAAAAAATTGCACTATTGATATTCTGCAATGATGATGCTGAAGTAATATCGATGCAATAGCAATTCCAAATATCACTGTAACAAATATACAAAAGAAAAAGTAGAAATTTATAAAAACTACATAGTTTGGTATCTCAATGAATCAAATAAAATGTATAAATAGGTTCAATAGCAAAAATCATAAACTTGTTGTAGGTTTTACCTTCAGCAACATGATTGTGTTCTTCGTATTGATGTTCTTTATTATAAATAAGATATATACGCAAATTAAAGCGTTACTTTGTAAAATCACGTCCATTGAATAGACAAACAAACACAATGTACTTTTGTGATTTGTGATACACATGTATACAAAAGGTCCTTTATAGAAAACACAACACACATCGCAGAACTTCCTTTTTTAGAAAAACAATCACAAAATCCCATCACAAATTATTAAATAATTTAAAATATTTTTGGCAAAAATTTTTACAATTTTGACATTTCAAATTTTTGTTTTTGTTTCTTTTCTTTATCAAGCAAAAAGTATACATATTATATGCCAGTATTAAAATAGTACAAACTACATGCATACTATTTTATAGAAATAAGGAGATAATATAAAAAGTATTTAATATCAATATCTAATTATTAACAATATTATTTTAATAGTTATTTATTATCTAAATAATTTGGAAAATTATTATTGTAATGTTTTAATATTTTTTTAGCCCCAGCGTTGCCGTAAAAAAATAATTTGACAATCCATATAGTACAAGAGCCTATGAACCCCAGACCTTTGTTATTTACAACGGACTTAAAAAAAAGGAAAAGTTATATACCTATAAGGTTTTTTTATGTTCCTTCAGGGATGACATCGTCGTTTTTTAACGTATTTTGATGATTCTTTTTTAACCGACTTTAAAAAAGGAGTATCAGTTTGACCTAAATGTATATACATGTTACAGCCAAAGTGATTAATTTGATATTATTCGTAATGACTAGTAATTAATCAATTAATGACTAGCTATTATGAATAATATCTTCGAAAACTTGGATAAAGTAAATCAGCAAATGGAAATGAACAGGGCTGACGTCTGCACAAAATTTTGAATTTATCGTCATGGGTGTCGTTTTCATGGTTTTCGAGGGTGATAAAGCCGATGGTCCTGTCAAATTGTAAATCCTAGATGGCGTGCGCACAAAATTTTTCAATTTATCGTCATGGGTGTCCTTTTCATGGTTTTCGAGGGAAATAAAACCGATGGTGTTGTCAAAATGTAAATCCAAGATGGCGTCTGCACAAAATTTTGAATATATCGTCATGGGTGTCGTTCTCATGGTTTTCGAGGGTGATAAAACCGATGGTGTTGTCAAAATGTAAATCCAAGATGGCGTCTGCACAAAATTTTGAATGTATCGTCATGGGTGTCGTTCTCATGGTTTTCGAGGGTGATAAAGCCGATGGTGCTGTCAAAATGCAAATCCAAGATGGCGTCTGCACAAAATTTTGAATGTATCGTCATGGGTGTCGTTCTCATGGTTTTCGAGGGTGATAAAGCCGATGGTGCTGTCAAAATGCAAATCCAAGATGGCGGCTGTACGAAATTTTGAATGTATCGTCATGGGTGTCGTTTTCATGGTTTTCGAGGGTGATAAAGCCGATGGTGTTGTCAAAATGTAAATCCAAGATGGCGGCTGCACGATATTTTCAATTATCGTTATAGGTGTCGTTTTCATGGTTCTCGAGGGTGGTGAAAATGATGGTGCTGTCAAATTGTAAATCAGAGATGATGACTGAACGAAATAGAGTTAGTGCATTTATCGAGAAAGATTAAGTAAGTGTGTGAATGTGTGTGTGTGTGTGATAGAGAGACAGAAAGAATGCGTGCAACCTATTTTATAGATTTTCTATGAAAACTGAGTATTTTCATATAATATTAGTTTTTATATAATAAAAACGGTGGCCTAGACCTGAGGTTCACAGGCTCTTAGGTTAATGCTTTTGGATGCAGAAACCTGACGCAGTCACTTCATAGAGTTTAGTTTGTCATCCATCACTTAATATCTTTTTAATCTCTATTATTAGTAAAGAGGCTGTCATCTTTGATCGATTATGCCAGCATAACTGTCATTTGATCTAAGTTTAAGGAATTATTTTGTAAAAATTGCAATATAGTATTAAATAAATGTGTATAATGTTATTTTACTATTTCCAAAAAATATTATTTTAAGCCGAAATTTTAAAATAATGTTGCCACCTTGCTTGGAACTGTGTGGCCACTGAAAATATTAGTTTTGACAACATTTAATTTCAGGTTCGAAAACTAGATGTAGTTGACGGTCCGATTTTTTAAGCTGTCAATGGCTCTAAGTGTGACGGCCCTGGGTAATAGTTATCAATCGATTTTGAATGTTGATACTTTATGTTTACAATTAACTAACGACTGTAAAAAGTGAATATTACAATTTAAATATCAAAATATGGATGAAGAATTAGGTGGACTGACGGAAGATGATTTCTTGTTGCCCCCTGTTAAATACGAGTGTAAGTTGTAAAATGTAGTTACTTGTTCATAATAAATTCTCGCAAAATTTGTACAATCAACATTTGTATTGTTTATGTGTATTAAATATTGTGTTTTTATATTTCAGACTTGGACCATACGGCTGATGTACAGTAAGTATTAATAGCACCTATTTAATTATCTTTTTAAAAACATTTTTCTTGAGTACATGATGCAACAACCACATCTAAATTTCTTATCTGATTACTGTATAAAAACATTTCAGTAATTATATTACCGACACAAATAACACAATTTCTATTTAGTGAGTTCATAATTTCCATTATTTGCTATATTTAGTAAATTTAGTTTTCTACATAAATATTTGAGGTTATTGCACAACATTAGAATCTTATTAGTCATAAGTTTAATTATATTGATTTCATTATACTTTATTTTTGTTGAAAACATTTAACATAGTCAATGGTCTATTCCTAGATCTAGCTATTAACCGTCTATCATTAAAATGATATATGTCAAAAGCAAATGAAAAAAAATACAAAATCTAATAATTTCAGGTTACATGCATGGGGCGACACTCTGAAGGAAGCATTTGAGCAGTGTGGTATGGCTATGTTTGCATATATGACAGAAATGCCATATGTGGAAATCAAAGAAGTGCACACAATAGAAGCTAATGCAGATGACTTGATGGGCCTCCTGTACCACTTCCTCGATGAACTGCTTTTCCTATTCTCAGTTGAACCATTCTTAATATGTAAAAAGTTAGTGATAACAGAATTTAATACAGAAGAGTTCAGAATAGTCTGCAAGTGTTATGGAGAAGAGTTTCAACTTGGCAAGCACCCACAGGGAACTGAAGTTAAAGCAATCACTTACTCGGCCATGCAAATAATTGATGAACCAAAGGATAATAAGTATGAAGTGTTTGTTATTATTGATATTTGAGAAATTATATATTTTGTTACAACAGTTATGGTTTTCTGTTACTCTATAACACAACTTTCTCTCTCTGATGTTTTGATGATATAAATTGTGTAAATTCCGTGATTTTAATTTAAAGACGGATAATGTACTCACAAAACTTCTATCTAGACTGAAACAAGCGACATGCCTAATTATAACCCGGGGCCATGGGCAAGAACGGCGCCGTGAGACACCTTCGTGTACCTAACTGCTTACTGACTGGCGGTGGCGGCGCCCAAATGAATAAATTGATTTCCAGTTATTATTTTTACACTTAAAATATAATCTTTCAAAATAAATCTGTATTGCATCTGCATCCTCATCGAATCCGCGTCCGCGCGAACTTCTCTCTAATAATCTGCATCTGCGGATGTCACAGTAACCACTTCTTCGTTTTGAATTACGCCACATTATCCATACGTAGTATCTCTAAGTAGTCTGACATTATCGCTCACCACCAGGCGATTTGTTAGACAAACGCCATCTTATTAACAGTAAAAAAATACTAGACTATAATGTCCGAATGTATCTTGAACTTTTTCCAGTAGTTCCTAGTAGGTACTAGTACATGAACAATACATGTATGTAGGGTGTTTGGCGCACGGGCCGACAATTTTTCGAATTTGATAGTTTATTGGTACACCTTTTACTCATTGGTACCCTTCGTTCTAAATGTCACAGTCTCGAACAAGCCGGTTACCAGGGCTCCGGCTCGACGTGCAGGAGAAGGAACGGGGTGGTTTTTAGTCAGTAAGAGTCTGACATTCCCTGCCGCCTCACCCAGGCGGGAGCAGTCATTCGACAATTTTCCCCCCTTAAAAAAAAAAACGTCCGAACAAGCCGGGTTCCGGAAAACTTTTAGCACCATAGACCATATTATACGCAGCGGCAAGTTATACAGAAGACCGAAGAATATAACTTGCCATTATGCTTGGCGTTAGTGGATTATGAAAAAGCCTTCGATTCGGTCGAGACCTGGGCGGTGCTACAGTCTCTCCAGCGATGCCACATTGACTGCAGGTATATCGAGGTGCTAAAGTATTCGTATAGAAACGCCACCATAGGCATCCGACTCTAGGAAGAAAGCACGGAACCAATCCAATTGTAGAAAGGCGTGAGGCAGGGAGACGTGATTTCTACGAAACTGTTCACTAACGCATTGGAGGACGTTTTCAAGCTCTTGAACTGGAGCGCACTTGGTATCAATATCAATGGCGAATACATCACACACCTCCGCTTCGCCGATGATATAGTCATCATGGCGGAGTCGCTGGAGGACCTTAACACCATGCTCAATGACCTCAATACCGTCTCCCAACAGGTGGGTCTTAAAATGAACACGGACAAGACCAAAATCATGTCAAACATCCATTTTGCACTTGTACCGGTCACCGTTGGGAACGATATCCTCGTTACAAATACTTTGGGCAGATCATTCAGCTAAGGTCCAACTTCGACAAAGAGGTTGCCCGAAGAATTCAACTCGGATGGGCAGCGTTCGGGAAGTTACGCGAAATTTTCTCACCGAAAATCCATCAGTGCCTGAAGACCAGGATATTTAACCAACACTGGTTGCCAGTCACTCACACGAGTTGCCGGTGATGACACGTGGTCACTGACCTCTGGCCTTCTGGATAAGCTCAAAGTCGCTCAGTACACGATGGAGAGAGCTATGCTCGGGGTTTCTTTGCGCGACAAAATCCGAAATATGGAAATTCGCCAAAGAACTAGAGTTACCGACATACGTCGCAAAATCTGCAGACTGAAGTGGCAATGGGCAGACCACGTCGCTCGACAAGCTGACGGCATATGGGCCAGGAAAGTCCTTGAGTGGAGACCTCGGACCGCAAGACGAAGCGTGAGCAGACCTCCCTTAGGTGGACGACATCGCCAGAGTTGCGGGAAGCCAGTGGATGCAAGTGGCGAGTTATCGTTCCACGTGGAGGACCAAGGGGGATGCCTTTGTCCAGCCGTGGACGACTTTCGGGTGTTGATATGAAATGTCACGGTTAGTCACATATTATTTTTCTTATTGAAATGAAAACCTTGTAACTCGAAATAACATTTTTGTTTGTGGGTCTAGTGGTCCAAAATAAATTTTGTTTTAAAGTCCAAGGTATTAGGTATTATATCTAAATAGATCTTTGTTTGATACAAAGGGTTAAAAAAATCTTACAAGCTTCCAAAGTTTTATAAGTTACTCCATCGTCGGCCTCATCATCGCTCACCACCGCGAGTTGGTAACAAAACGCAATCCTATTAACAGTCACAAGTACTGATATGTGCCAAGATCAAAATTACTTTATTTTTTTTTTATAATTATTTTAGAAGTTGGAAAATTTCAGATGTGTTAATGAAAAATTAAACTATAAAAGCTTGTAAGAATTGTTTTAAAGCATTTGTATCAAATAAAGATATTTAAATTTAATAGACTTTGGAGTACCTACACAGCAAAAATTATTTTGGACAACTCGACCAAAGTATTTTGAGTTAAAGGAAATATTTTGGGTAAATTTTTCATTTCAATGTAACAATCATTATGTGACTAATCCAATCGTCTCATTTGTGACGACCGACGGATTTACGGGTAAAAAGTAGCTAATGGCCTCTCAAATCCCTAACAAATTATGTCAGTCCATGCGTCATACACCTATATAGAACTCTTTTTTTTTAAGGGGGGAAAATCATCGAATGACTGCTCCCGCTTGGGTGAGACCTATATAGGACTTTACACAGAGTCTTCTAATAGGACTATTACATAGATGAAGAAGGGTTCCTTAGAGGATTTTAAACGGAGTGGGGGTATTGCATCCTAGTATTCCTTGTTCTCTACCTACTTACCTATCGGGCGCATGGTGATTGGAGAATTCATCAATCTCTTAATTAGGTAGGAATTCACGATTATCTGCTAGCACTAGGCAGGAGATACCACTTATCAATAAGTAGGTATCGAAAAACCATCCAGTAAGTATGTACTTAATTAGGTACTTATCTACTTATTTATTTTTGATTTGAGAAATAAATAATATGTAGATGCGCATCAACTTGATGGGGTTGTAGGCTAATGCAACTACGAAAAAATCGTAGCTACACTAGCTCCAGAAAAATAGACTACTTTTTTTTCACAAAAAGATCGATGGTTAGTTATGGATCACTTATTCGATAATTTAGCCAATTTCGTCAAAAAATAAACCATAACAAAGATTATCCCTGTCTCTTCCTTCTGAATGAGGGTTTGGTTAGGATAGGTACTCTAAGGCCAAATAGCATGACTTTTTTAACCGACTTCAAAAAGAAGGGGGTTCACAGTTTGACCTGTATGTATGTTTGTGCGCGGTTATCTCGCGATAGGCTGAACCGATTTTGATGCGGTATTTGGTCCCATTGTCATCAGGTCAGCATCTGATGATGAGATCCCAGGGAAACTTTAAAAAATATAGGGGCTACTAGAGCATTTGTTAGTTTTTTCATTAAGACTTTAATACCAATGGTTTTTAGTCAGTAAGAGTCTGACACTCACTCCCGCCTAACCCAGGCGGGAGAAGACATTCGATGATTTTTCCCCTCTTAAAAAAAACCTACCAACAAATAAGGTTTAGTCTAGTTGTACAGCAGTTACATATAGTTGATCTACCTACTAATTTCAACACTAGTCTGCCTCCGTGTCTTCCGTACTTTAGGTAGGTATTCCGCCAAGACCTGGTTACCTGCTTACTTCCACACTCTTCACACTCTTATACTCGAAAGAACTCAATATACACATACGCTGGCCTTTCGTAGTATGCCTTAATACTTTACTGACTCATGACTAATACATTACTGCACGGTTGGTGCGGTGGCTTTGCAACCGGCTGCCGCGCAACGTGTCGTGGGTTCGATTCCCGCACGGAACAACACTTTGTGTGATCCATAAATTGTTTTTTTCTGGTCTGGGTGTCACATTGTGTATGTGAACTTGTATGTTTGTAAACGTACCCACGACACAGGAGAAAAACCTAATGTGGGGAAACGTTTTTTAAAAAAAATAGATATCTAACTCTTAGCCTTACCTAGGTCGGTACCTAAAACAAATTAATGTGAGTTGTGGGTTACAGACAGCCGCTCTTAATCCTTCTAGGTAATATGGATCTTTGCCAACAGCATTCAACGTACGTGGATCATGACATGAGTACAGAACCAATATAAAACACACTGTACATTGATATTTTTATACAGAAAACTGAAACTAAAAAATGTTTCACGGGTATTGATCCTGCTGCGTCGTTGTGTCGGGAACTAAATAGTCGGCAGCATTCAACGTCCTTGCTTAGCAGACTTCAAGAGGCTTAAAATCTATTGAAGATGGACCAATGATTGCCAAATTTACATACATTCGTAGAAAAATAAAAATTCTATACTTTCACTTTGTACAAAAAAAGTCTGATATACTCATCATAATAGTTCTACACTTAAAGGTCCTTCATTTTTGTTATATTATAGCTATTATGAAATTACTAGACGATGGAGTGCTTTGTTATCTTTTAACACTTTTCACTTTATTTATTCATCCATCTTCAAATTAAAGGCACACGTAAACAAATATTTGCGAATACGCGGTATAATCTCAAAAATATATTTGATCGTTATCATTGTGTTAGACTAGAATTTAAGCCAGAATTTAAATTTCTGAACGTTTCTTGTCTATGATAGTGATATCTCGTTCTCTGTATACGTATAATCACTTCCGTTTTGTTCGCGGTTTCACTGATGTCCGTATCCGGTTTAAGAAGAATTTAATTACCAATTAATAAAATTTTACTATAATTCTTTAATTAATAGATCATTTTTTAACTTAAAATTAACTATTTATTTTACCAGAACTTGATAAATGTACAATATAGTATAATAAAAATTCTACTTTGCCTAGTACAACTTTCTTAGCAAGCAATTTATTTTCGATCGATGAATGGTTATCATATTTAACTGTACAATATCGAACCAAAATTTATTTTTTATAAATTGTATAGAGTTCTCGAAAGTTTGTTGTATTATATCTGTAATTTTCTTTCAAATTAATATGTAATTCTACTTAGAAAATAATTAGTAAATAGGCCAATAAGATTCTACTTAGATTGTGTCTGTACGTTTCTAAATTAACGCTAAGACTGTAAATTAAACTGTAAATTGACATAATATCTAAGTATTTAATAACAAGAGAAATGCACTGTACATAATTCAAATCATAACATTTTGTTTTCATTCTACTAGTCTTATAGTATATTATGGTAGGTGGGATTTAACATTTTTTCTTCGTATTTACTATCAATCGTGTCATTCTACAAAAAGTTATTTAAGTAAATGAAAATCTAGTACTTAAAATACCTTTTATCATTCAATAATAAATTCTTTTTTACGCTAAAATTAAGGAAACTGTGACTACTGCGAGATGATGTTAGGTACTCAAAATTAAATTTTGCTACCGATACGTGTAACGATAAATAAATTCCTAAAATATCAATTTGGTACCTTACGACATATGTACATCGTACATAAACCTAAAATAATAAAAAGTGGGTAGGTATTTATAAAAGTAACTAACAATTAAAATCGCTTTAACTTTGGTCTCTACAAAATGCAACTAACGTCTATGAAGACGCTTCGTTCCTCTGGGCCTCTGAGTCAAACCGGTCGAACAATGGAAATTCAAAAATTCGTTATATTTTTTATGGCTTCTTCAACGAGGGGAGGAATTTGGATCACGAAGCGGCGGCGTCCGCTAGGGGTTGCTCGCTCGGTCGCTTCGCGCCTGCGCACGTAGTTCGCGCCACTGCTACGTCGCTTGCAAGCCAGATGTTCTGAAAAGCTTCCTGTCGCCGTTTCAATGCTCCGCATTTTTATCTAATAAGTTATTGTAAAATGTGGACTAGGACCTTTTTAATATTTTCTTTTATGAGTGAAGTAATCAGTGAATAAATATCATGTGTATTGGATAAACTGTGTGTAGTATATTAAAATTATCGAGCGTCTCGATGTCCACGAGTTCACTCGGGACCAACAAAGCGGCGGACATTTTATTTTGAGTACTCGATAATGTAGCGTTCGCGTCGAAAACATTAATGTCGTTTTATGGTTATAAATTCGGATATCGTTCGCTTACACCTTTTGTAAGTATTGTTATTTCACAGTTGGTATTTTGTGCGTAATCCTTGAATGTGTACACTTAGGTTTAGAAGCGGTTATGTCCAGGTATCACCGCTAGGTTGTCGATATTTTGGGGAAAATGTCGTTGAAAAAAGTGACGTAAGCAAAACTGGACAGCTGGAAGTGTCGCCTTGGACCTTTGGTATTAAATTCAGTCCGTTAAACTTGCTATCGACCCACTCCGCTTCGGAGGCTTCTTGTTCGTGATTTCCGCGCGCACGGCGCCCCTAACCTATACACTAATTGAATTGTGATGATTATGGTGCATTACTGTAGAAAAATGATAGGTTGATTGGTTTGGTAATATGTTACTTATGATCATTAACAGCGATGCCGAGAGGGGTGAAGCGAGGGCCGGCGGAGGGCGAGGCCGAGGTGGTGGTTCGCGCTACTGCGTCTCCTTCACATACCACGCTATTGGACGACAGTCCTAGCCAGCCCATTAGCTATCACCTGCTAGACCACGGCTATGGCGCCACGCCACAGCACCAGATCAGGCGCGAGGCGCCTACGGCACCGCCGAAGACGTCTGAAGTAAGTTCCCTTAGAATGTTTTAAGTTTCTATTCAACACATTCTGATTACCAATCTACTGTGAAAAGTCTGATGTTTATAATATTCAGAAAAAGTGGGTAAGGTTGGTTAATTTATAACTTAGTGTAAATCTCATTTCATTTAAGTTATTTGCAATTGGATTCAAGTAACAAGTTTACTTGGTCCGCAGCTCCACATGAAACTGGTAAGTGGGGCGGAGTAGTTGTTAGTAATCACATTACTTATTGGGATTGTAATGAACTTCCATTTATTAAATGAAACCTAAGTTATCAGTATTTACTGAATAATTCATGACACTGATGCTGTATGATGTGGCATTGGGATAGATGTCAACTTTAAGTGACATGCAATACTGTCATTACAAATGGAAGTCATTTTTGATTTGTACAAATCATCATAATAGCCACAAGGTATCCACTGTTGAACAAATCAAAATTAGATCAAAATACCCTTTTATCTAAAGTGTGTTAGTTGATTCATGACATAGATTTATTTGACCCTTCTACAAGTCATCGAGAAGTATTTACTTTTATTTCAAGTTATCTATCATTCATAAGTTTTAATTATCAGAAAACAAGTCATGTTCTTTGTTTCTGGGTGAATTAGAAATATAGAACTGTTCATACTTTTTTGGAAATTTACATTAGATTACATCATTAGAAGTTCTGGTAAAACATTTGAGTTTTCTTTAAAAACATATACACATATTATGCAACAACAACATAATAAAATTGTTTGGTCATTGAGTTTGATACATCTTTTATTCAAGAACATAAATTATTTGAGTGTTGTGTGACACTCAAATGTTATTTTACAAAACTTGCTCGAGTAAGTTAAGAATGTTTGGTTTCTTGAGCATTGCTTTATATCTACTTTGGAATAGATTTATAATTATTATTTATCCTCAGGTTAAGATGTAGGTGTTCCTCAGGTTAAGATTCATAGGTATTCATAGGACATAGGTTGTACAGGAGAATTATAATTGACTTTGATATGGAAAAATAATCATCTTGATAAGATTTGGTGTCATTGACAGGTATACTGCAAATGACTAATATTGTTATAATGACATTACCATGTTGACTATTCAATGATTTGGCCAATAAATCATTTGTTTTAAGGTTAGGTTGGTAACACCTTCAGAATGGACAACTCATGATCATTTGATTATAGATGTTTGTGAAAATTTTTCAACTGTAAATCACAGTCACATTCAAAATATAATTTTGATAGAGTATAGAGACGAATTGATGAATGATGGAGTTCCATGAAACTATTGATTTCTTTAACATTGAATAGCTATGCTCAAATTATCAACTGTTTTATGTATTCAATGCAATTTTTTCCTTTTATTAACATAATCATTCAAATATGATATGAATAATACAATTGCCATAAAATACATAGCATTTGTGAAATAATAATCTCAGTGGAAAGCAGGATTGAACTTAGATTAACTAAAAATAATAATAATGAGGTCATTGGTCTCTGAAGGGTCAATGTACTGGACAAATAGAATTCTGGAAACTCAAAGAGGAAGATAATGGACCACATTTTTTTTAAATTTTAATCACTTTCCAATTAGAAAAGTTCTACAAATGCTGTATATATTTTTTTGGGCAATTTAAAAAGTTCAACCACTGAGAAAATTACTTTTTGCTTAAATCTGTGTTTGAACCTAAGAACATGTTAAACACCTATTAAACTTTTAGTTAAATGCTTGTTCAAATTATAATTCCTTCTTTATTCTCCTAGTTATTTTAAATCTTACTTATTCATCATTAATCAAAAGATTTTTACATTACTCATGGATAGTTATATTATGTTCATCTAATTCTTATAAGTTACGGAAAACATAACGTAAATTCTGCAAATCGTGTTGATTGTGACGAATCAAAATGGCGGATCCTAGACGACATAATTTCGTGTGTGTAACGGTGGCGAGTACACTAAAAAGTGTTTAGTTGTGGGACTGTGGGACCCTACGCGGGACCGGGCCACCGACCAATCACAGGACAGACGCCACACGAATTCTGTTTAAAATTTCTCCGACTCTCCGACTCATACATTAAACAATTCCCATCTAAATTTTACTAATCTAATCTTTTCCAACTGCTCCGTAATTATTCCGATTTATTTATGTTAAGATAAACATAATAATACAGTTTTTACGTTTTAAAATATTATATCGAAAACAGTATTTGTAGCTCTTAATACTGATAATTTGTTAATGAAATAACAGTATTGAAACTGTACTTATTTATCCCCTAAAAGGTAAAAAAAGTACCAACATTAGTAGAATTGCACCTTATTTTTATCGATAACGTCTCGATAAAGGTGTCACTTGATTCTAACGGTACAGGAATGCTGTCGTTTTTATTAGGTTTCTTTATCTTTATTCAATTAAACTTGTTCACATCTGAAATTAATATTATTTCAAGGCATTCTACTCTTCTGCCTGTTCTGTAACGTGTCGATTATTTTAACCGAAAAAAAAACAACATGGCGGTCGCTTCACGCCAAATTTGAGACTTTGAACGGTACGCTTCTAGTAACATAGGCTGCACTTTCAAATCACAATACGAAAAACTACCTACCTACTTATTACAAGCTTTATATTATAGGTGTGGGGTGCCCTTTAATAATGGAACATAATGATACCTTCATTGACACGTCGAAATTTTAAAAATATTTTTGAAATCAATTAGGCTATTAGGTACCTAGTTAAATTTTAGATTACTTAATGAGTTTAAAGAATTTTTAAGTTTTGATTATGAAAACCCTTTTTAAGATGTAATTTTTTTAAGTTATCTTGAAGTTATGCCAATGATCGGCGCCGTGGGGCATTTAAGCCATTCTAATCTTTCAGTTATCCCAAATAAGCTTTTCTCGTTCGCTTTGCGTTTGTTAAAGGAGAGTATCCTTGAATAATGGTTTAGGTGGCACGTTACAAGCGTATAATTATAGGATTAAGTAATGTCAGCTGGAGGTATAACCTTAAACTTGTAGTTGTCGAGTCGAGCTACACAGAGCAGCGGGCGGCAAATGTAGGCAGGCACATATGTTAGCAGTATATCATGTGTAGTGGCGTTCACCCGGCGCCATGTGGGTCCAGCACTAGAGCACCACGTGACCAGGTACTTACTTCCTGTCATCACACTTGTATTGCACGTTTTGGGTCATTGTCCTTTATCCCTAAGGTCTAACGTCTCGTGCGAACTTTGATCTTTCATCAAGAATAAGGAGATCCCTTTTATATTATTTGGGTTGATTTAATTTATCAAACAGCACAATAGATTTTTTCCTTCGTATCAAATTAATGTAATTTATTCGATCCCACCGGTTGCATATTTATTATTATTACGCAGCATACGTTTAGGGATGTATTGATGATGCGAACAGTTTTGCGCTAACAGAAGGGCTGTTTTGTCTGCTTAGATATTGAACCTCATGTCACATCTGCTCCGATTTACTTGCCGTGCTTAGTCCGGGACAAAGACGCGCGGGACCCACAAATCCGGCAAATTAACAATAGCGCCTAGTTCCCTATTAATAATAATACAAATATTCCAAGATAAGAAATTGCCGTTCTTTCGCCAGAGGTCCCTTCCGAGAGCTCGCCGGCTTTTGTGTTGATTCTAATTTATGTCATGTATTGTTGTTACCGGGTACCCTCCCCACACACTTCCTTTAGGGGCTTTGGCCCCGTTGCTAGTAAGAATTGAAATTGTTGCATGAGCTTATCGAATTTGCTTCGTGCATCTTCCTCACTGCTCTCCGTGACTACTTCGGTGTGCGCGATTCTTTTCTTTTTTTAATATATATCCGCAACTAGTGTTTGTCATAATTTGCCGATTATTGTCGTCGTTGCTATTAATTAAGATGGGGTCAATGTACAGTTTAGAAATGGGAACAGTAGTTATAAATTGTTCCGTTGAAGTGTTAGGGAGTGTGAAGTAGGCGTTTCAGTTCTTGTAGTGTAATGAGTGATGTTCAATTGAAGAGATTAACAATGACTTACTTTGTGTTCAGTACTATTTTATTACAAGAAGTGATGTGTACAGCCCGGTTTACATTGCAATACATGCACTATTGTCTACCTGATTCGTCTAGTGTGAACAATGACTGAAGTAGAATCGTGTAACAGTGTGTGCAAAGCTTAAAAGTGGCCGAAGTGTCGTGCTTTTAATTTTTATCAAATGGTATTGTGGGCAATGCGTGACATCATGGGGGTAAGTTGAAAAATTAAGGTATACCACATATTGATTACATTATAATTATTTTTGTGAAACAAACGCGGGTAATGGGAACAAATAATACAAAAAGCAACATAATGAAGTAATTGATAAGGGTTGTACCCGCGCGTACGTTTGTTTAATTAGCAGGTGCATGTGTGTAGGTAATTACGTGGCTATCTAGTATTGTAAATAGATATCGAATCTCATCGTTTCACTTGGTACACGATTACGTCAGCAGAACTTGATCACAAACCGTTACTACATTGTTCATAAAATATTTTCTACGTATTTTTAATCGATAAACGGACCACGATATTCTCTGAATTCCGTGTTCTATTTTAAAGGTTATCGATGGCGTTTAGAACTTTAAACTTTTTGTGGGTGTAAATTTTTACGTCGAGAATAATTGACGGCTTAAAGATTATCCATTCATTACGTATGACACAAATATACCTATGTTTTCCCTGTACAAGATTTATAATTCAGGTATATATTATTGTGGTTATTCATTAAAAGTATCTTTTAGCTGTTTAACATTTCTTCACTTATTCTTTCATTTCGCAGCTTCACTCGTCGTCTTATGATAGAAAGCCATGTGCGAAGCCAGTGCTTTATTCCACGGCATGTATTTATTCCTATTTTCTATAGCTACACAAAAACTTGCAAATAACAATGCATTTTCACTTAACCATCACCTGAATTTAATTTAATACGTGGTTGTCATTTGAGGTTACGCTGAATACGAGGTGTCAAAAAAGTTTTTAGTTTAGGACGGATAGCTCAACGAAATTAGCATAAAATATGCAATGCATTAGTGAAATGTAAATTTTTGATGCCGTTTTATGCAATTCATAGTTCAGATATAACGCACGCCATGTTTTTGGCAAGTAACAAAAGGGTTTGGCTAAAAAAGGTCCTGTAAAAAGAGGTTGTAAAAATGTAGGGTGTATTGTTAGGCTTCTATACTCACTACTCATAAACTATATTGAGCAAGCATGCGAAACGTTAATGTTCAGGTAGTCCCACATAGTAAAGAAATAAAAACGGACTATCAGTAGCTCATTCTTTCGTTTTATAGGATTTGTTGGAATTTGTACTCAACAAAAAAGGTTTTTTCACATAGTAATTAAACATAATAGAAATCCGAAAGCAGTGTTTACTAAATTACTTATAGCCTTCTAAACTGATGTTTAGAGAGACATACATGATAAGATCAAGATATAGATGCCGTGCAATATCCGTAGTAAACGCTATTGAATGCCGCAATTTAAGTACAACTAGTAATTCTCATATTTTATAATTTATCAGTCAGTATTTAGTTTTGTATTTTCCTGATGTGACATTCCTGTTCGAAAGCGATCGCAGGAACTGCACTGTTGTTTGCATATTTGCATATTACTATCTTACTAACCTTACTTTATTCGTGGATTACCTGCGACTATGGGAAGTATCAATACTAATATTTTCACAATTCATCGAATTTTATCAAAGTATTTTATGGACAGCGTATTGCGTATCTAAAACATTTATTCGCCTATACATATATAGGAAGACTACTATGTTCTTGTGTATACGCGATTGTTAGATTTAGAATGAATAGATAGATAACTTCGACTTGTCAAACCTGTCAGAACGGTGTTCTTCTCGTTTTGTAAAGTCAGTTTGATTTGATGTTGTTCTCAGGCGGTGAAAAGAAGACTGAACTTGAGTGAGAGCAGTTCCGGCAGCCAGGGTCACGTGGTGCCCATGAAAGCCGACTTCAAGACGCCGAAACAGAAACGCGTCAAAGTCCTCACGCCGTACAGTCGACCGTCCAGTTCTATGAAAAAGTACACCGAACGTTCCAGGTACTTGTCTCAGTGAGAGGTAAATTTCCATTTTAGAGAGTAGCTTTTTATGTAGTTAAATAGAAGATCGAAGTCTTTGAAAAAGTGCTCGCCGACACAAAAGCTGGAGTTTTTTGTTAGAACACCTCGAAAGAAGTGGCCATAATCGAGTGACGTGAAGATGTAAGCGGAATACTTGCAGACTGAAATATTGAGTATTATGAGTGGAGTAACAAACCGACAAACATCGTGATATCGACTTCAGAACATTTGCGAGAGTCCTGAAGACAATCCGTCATTGAATTTGACTTCATTACACCCTGGTGATAATGAAGAAGAAGAGAGCCAAAGGGTACAGCGACTTCAGAGAGAGAATAGTACATTTGCGTTGTAATAGGCCGGCTTGTTTCTAAGCATCGTATTATTTGTTTCAGGTTTGACACATCATTAGGTTTACTCACAAAAAAGTTCGTTGCATTGCTGAAGTCTTCACCCAATGGCGTCCTAGACTTGAACATAGCGGCAGAACACTTATCGGTCCAAAAACGTCGTATCTACGACATCACAAACGTTCTAGAGGGTATAGGAATATTAGAAAAGAGATCCAAAAATAATATACAATGGAAATATGGTAAGTGATCTTTACCAAAGGTCGCGTTATTAGTTTAAACGTTATAAATAAGGTTATCGAATTTATAGTATTTAAGATATTAGTTATAAGTTTCACACGAACAACAGTTGTGTTGTGATAAAACATAAATAAACAAAAAACGCTACGATTCCGTTAAATATGTACGTAAGGGAAGGTCTAAAATTTTAACGCAATGTACTTTGGGATTCGTTATCCCCTCTTTATGACAACGTGCGAACAAGATTGGAATAAGTATAAACCATCAAGTTAGTACAAGCCAGTCGTTTACTACGTTTATTCTTATATTAGGGGTATGAAATAGGACCAGTTACCTTATTGTAATTATGGTTTGCATAACAATGCTGCGGCGATGTCACGATGCTTGTTGGAGGGAGAACCTTAATTTTAATCTATTATTAAGATTTTATACATTTATTTCTATCACACCTGGGAACATCAATGAGAATATAGTACGCGTGTAGTTTGATTCACGAATTAAGATTTTCTGAATTCCTTTGTGGTTCACTTCATGGCTGGAATTGTGCACATTTTATCGATAAAATCAGTTATGTTGACTATTCCGGAGTGAGTGAAGCGAGCAAAGATCTCGGGTTTGAATTTCGGGTCTGGCAAATTTTTAGTAGTAGCACGGAGCCTAGAATGTGTCTCATTTTACATGGTAGCCTTATATTGTGCAGTTTTACTTAACCCTTCGAAGAATTAAGGGCCTGATGTCGTTTATAACGTCTAAACATAGAATTCATGAGGTCTTCGAGATAGCTAACATACTCTCTGAGACATGAGGATTGCCATGATCACAGCCAAATCAATTTGACTGGTATGATTAGTCAATTAGGACGCTGCTGGCTAAAATTGAATACCTAAATTTTGTGAGCGTGTCAGTACAGAGTATGTGGTTGCAGGCGTGGGCGGCGCGGGCGGGGCGGGCGGCGCGGGCGCGGCGTGCGGGTCGGCGGGCGCGGCGCGGCGGCTGCGGCGCGAGGTGCGCGTGCTGTCGGCGCGGCAGGCCCGCGTGGCGCGCGCCGTGGCCGTGGCCGAGCAGGCGCTCAGCGAGCTGTCGGCGCACCACGGCGCGCGCGCATACATCACCTACGCCGACCTGCGCTCCATACGGGACTTCCGCAACCAGACCGTCATACCCATCAAGGCGCCACCTGACACTCGCCTCAGCGTTAGTTAACACTACTACGCCACTTTTATCTCCCTGACTACTTACCAAATCAAGTCTCAAATATAATAATATGATAGTTACTTTACTACATCCAGTAACAAGGTTACATAATTAATTACAGGTGCCTCATCCTGACGAGAAGGGCTACATGATACATTTGAAGTCCATGTCGGGAGAAATTGAAGTCTACCTCTGTCCAAAAGAACGTCCGCCTTCGCCTGCTACATGTAAGTCACGATATCAATATGATTAGAGCTGTTCACTCAAACAAATGTGTACAATACTAACTGTTTAAATGGCTGTTTTAATTTAGGAAACTTAAACATTTACAATTTTTATTTTACTTGTTATAGCTTCAGGCCCATTGCCGGCGGATCCGCTGTTGGAAGACAACAAGGCACTATTAGCACCACTTATAGCGTTACTGCAGTCTAAACCCACCAGCTCTATCACTGCTGACTTCACGTGAGTTTGTACAAAAATCCTTCTGTATTCGTATCCTTTTCAGTTAGACTGTTTAATCAATATTGTATATTTGTGTGCAGAACACCAATAAAGCGAGAACCGATGAGTGAGGCGTCTTCGTCATCGATGGTGGTGTCCACGCCCTGTGTCACGGACCCCACGCTGCCGCTGGGCGGCGCGCTCGGGGCCCACGCCACGCTGGCCACGCTCGGGGCCATGGGCGCGCTGGGCGCCGCCGGGGCCGCGGCCGCGGGGGCCATCGGGCCATACACCACGCCACACGTGACGCCGCACAAGTCCCTGACGCCTCACTCGGACCACTCCAGCCAACACGACACCCTCAACACACCTGACAGTCAGTGTCTTTCTAGTTTCTATCATTCACGTAACAGTAGACGTCAAATTGTATGTTTGTAGTGCGTATTATCAGCTGTTTCGTAACATAATGTTGTTGTCGTAACAGGCACGGGCGCACGAGGTCGATTACGTAACGCACTAATAGCAGACAGCGACGATTTCGCGCCCATAATGGGCGGCGGCCGCTTCCAGCTGCAGACCGAGGACCAGGAGTCAGGTACGACGCGCAATCTACTTATTATCATGTACATATCTGATCTCATAATAAAGTTCCTATGAATATTTATAATAAGAACAGGAATTGGGTACAATAAAGTATAACATATATGATGGGTCTTAATTGAATTGTCATAATCATCATTAGCTAACCTTTAGTTGTATTCACCAAGTCATGGGTACTAGTCACGCTATAGCGAGCGGGATGCGAGAACGGCGGTGCGGTCTCGTGGCTAGTACTTTGGCTGTGACCTGTGTGTCGTAGTCACATCACAGTCAGAGTTCTAGCTACGCGGTCGTGAGGACGGCGAGGACATCTTAGATATAATTCATTCGGCAGCGGGATTCACTAGGTTGGTTCTTTATTTAACTGATCTACTTTGTACGGCGACACTATCGACTTACTTGTAACTAATTATATTTGAATGCAACAAGTGTCAGGTATCGATAGTGTTTCCGAATAAGTCCATACACATGTATAATGCTGTATGTGTCATGTATCATACCATGGTAAACACCTTCGCATTGCATGCTTGTCTCATCACAGTGCTCATGTCATCATAAATGCTTCACTAACTATGATAACTGTCTTTGTACAATTTTACTAGGAGAAATGTTCCTTACTTCCTTATGTGTATGTTTCAATTTATGCTAATTGTATGAATTTTGTTGTGCAATGTCTTTAACTAAAATAGTAAATATGCCTATTTCTATTTTTTAAAAGTCTTACAGATGTTCACATACCTGAATTGCTTTTGTGGTAAAATTATATCTACCAATGTAGCACTTTAGAACAGTTATCACTGATAACTTTAACAACTTTTTCATTAAAGCATTAATATAGGATTTTAAATATTCGATAAACTTATTCAGAGGTTTTTAAACTCGTTGATTTATCTTTTTTTTGCAATAAATTTATTCAATCTACCTATATGACATACAACAGCTAATTAACACTTAACAGAAATGTATATCGGTAACACAAATAATAATCCAATTACGAATTAAGATTTTTGTACATTTAATTACTTTTTACTTTCACTAGTGTAAAAGTAAATTCACAAGATTGAAATCTTGTTTCGTTTTTGGATTTTTGTGTCGTGTAAAGAAATTGTTGCAAATAATAACATTATTGCAGATTTTTGAATGATCAGTGTTTGTATAAAAAGCACAAATACGAAACCTCCCGAAGTTTTTGTATTGTAAATATGTTTATTTTGGGTAATGCTCACATCTCACTACGGGCTCACTGTTACAATCATAATGACTGGAATTTTAAGCGTTTATACTTAAACATTAATTAAAATCAATCTCATAAAGTAAATATATACACATGGCTCATCTATCATTATTACCTTGACATTGGTGTGAGCATTCTCCAAAGGAGAGCTTACAAGGTAAATGTTCGGTTCTGCGGGGTCTCCGGGCGCGGTGCCGGCGCGGGTCCGGCGGCGGCCGCGAGCTGCATCCCGTGCGGCCGCAGTGTCACGTGTAGCACCATGGGATTCAGCTCACGGACGCTCGCCACTAACTGCCAACTCATCTACTAACTCCACGTACATCGCCAATGTAACAACGCTCTCATGTCTAACTATGTTTGCACTGTGTTCCTAACCTTCGGAAAATGTCGTTCACGCCTTCATCTCACATTCTACCATAATTACCATTCAGCTTTTGGCCTTGGGATACGGTATCATTTAACTTCTCTCAACACCACATACGTTAACGACGTTTTTCGAGGATACAAACACCCAGTTTGAATGAAATGATCTTGGAACTCTTCCATGAGAATGAGACTATTACAATACATATTAAACTATTCAAACAGGGTGTACAATTTTTAAAATGTCAAGCAAAAATAGCTTCTGCTGTTTTTGCTTGAAGGTTTTTACGAGTTTATTGTACAGTTTTCCCTTCGCCTCTGCTTCGCCTGTCAAAGTCCAATAATGCTTTCTCTCTTTGTAAGTCTGTCTGTAAAGATTTTGCAGGTGTTGTCGAGGTGGGGGGACGTGTTTCAACTAATTTTGTAAATAAAATATACTATACTGTTACATAACGATTGTAAATTGAAGTAATATTTTTGATGCTGCAATGACTAATTGTGAAAATATTATTAATAAGAGCATGTTGTGACTTGCTACTTATTTAAAACTTATTTTTGTGTATCTAATGTTTAAAATTGGCCATAGGATGTTGTAGATATACTGTCTTTGGGTCAGTATGTTATGAAATTAAAAATGTTTCTAGTTTGTGGCATTTGCGATTGATAAACTTGTCGAGTGTAAACGTTGTTAACAATAGTGTACTGAAGAAGCTGGTGTTCCGTGGCGTTTCAGAACCGCTGGAGTTGGAGCCGTTCCTGGCGCTGGAGCCGCCGATGTCTGCGACGGACTACGGTTTCTGCCTGGACCACGACGAGGGGCTCGCGGAACTCTTCGACTTCGAGTTCTAGTGCAGTGCGCATGCGTGCCACGCGGCGCGCGCCATACTCATAGTACTCAGCTGTACTCAGAGGGAGCTACACTCGTCTCAGTGTCACTGGAAATGTTTAGTCTATCCAATGATATGGTTACCTGTATTGTGACATCTGCTCCAGGTGTTGGGAAAGGTGTGAACCACTCTCAATTACCTTAAGATTTGACGTGAAATTGGGACGACTGTCGTAATAGTTACAGAACACTCTCTATTTACATGTGCAGTGTTAATGAAAGCGTGCAGGTGACATAAAGTTCACAAATGTACGCTTAGCAGATACTTGCTCTGGTTGGCTTTAGTTACGCAAGTCGCTCGCAAAGGTCGTGTTTGCCATTTACTAATGTTTTTGATGAATATTTGTAAAGTTTATTTCGTTACGTCACTTATAATAATGATGCCATTTTATTTACGGGTAATACACTGTCATCATGTTGAATTTGTTGTTTTATATTTACGTGTTGCTTTAGACTTGTCTAAGAAACTGTACTTACAACTTTCAATTATGCCTGGAGTCCAAGCAATTATGAGAAAGTGTGAATGATGCAAGTGACTCATATTGAAAGTAATAACTTATTGTCACGTAAGTAGTCTGTTTTACTTATTGACAAGAGTCATTCGTAACTTAGCTTACAGCTTATGTGGAACCAGTGCATTTCAAGTGCCTCAGTCGATTTGTTGATAATTTCCAGATACTGTTGACTACATAACTTTAAAATATTGTGAATTACAGTGAACAGTTGTTAACCATGTTCTGTATGTAAAAGTACTGTAGACACGTAATATATGAGAGTGTTCTGTAAATGCAATAATTTGTGGTACCAAACAATCATTGCGCTCTAATTTAGTTGTTAAAATTAATTTCGACGTAAATTATTTAGTTGGATTATTTGTGACGTAGTTGTCGAATATTTAACTAATGTTATGTGCTGTGGGACTGTAGGTGGCGCTCACTGTTCTAATACGATAGTTGTAGCAGATTACTGGGATTCCACGCGTTACTGAGAATGTTGTTTAAAATTTAAAGCATATCTAAAAGAACGAGTATTTATTTAGTAATTCTTACATTTTACGGTTTTAGACTGTAGTGCATGCTATCTACAGTAGACGACATGCAACCTCATCCACTCCCAATCTGAAAACATGGTGCTAATTTCATTTCTTCATCTCGTCGTCAACTACAGTCCCACGTTACGAGTTAATACTGAACGCTTATAGTTAAAATGTTCCTTGAACGTGATCTAATTGATTTACTTGTGTTGTTTAGTACCGACAACCACTGCTTGTTTCCAATGTCTGTGGTCGGTAGCTGACGAGGGCGCATACTACAGATACAATGCCTTAAGACATAGAATTTTGTAAATATTACACAAGCCAAGTTTTGTATGCGATCTCTATAGTATGTCTGGACGTTTACAAAGAAGTATGCGCCCGCGCAGGCACGTAGAGCCGGGCCCGCAGCGCCCGTGTACATACGTCGCTCAAACTCGAGGGCGCGGGCGGGCGCCTTGTACATATACACTAATGAACGGTGATATCTTAGCGGCCTTCGATTTGACTTGTAAAGCTAGCTCTAGTGTTCCATACGTCATACGTTCACGTTAGGCCTGTCGTTTGCGTATTGCACATTGTTCCGTTATCGATATACTGATTTGCCAAATATTTAGTTAATACCTGAGTTTGTCATTTAAGTTTCATTATGGGTTCGTTTAGTTGTCATTGTAAATAGTGGTAGGCAGGGCGGGAGCGCGGCGAACGTCAGCATTATAATTTCGGTAAATATAATTTTGAATGTTTAAGTACAAAGTGCGATGCCGCGATAGCCGTCTTACCGTGATGTAAGTACATTACTCGAACTCGTTGGCACGCCTCCGCTCTGCCCTTTTTGAATAGTGTACAGCACAAATGTCATTGTAAAAAACCTATTAATAAGTGCATATCAAAATAATTTTAATGTTAGACTTAATTTGAAGATGAGTGTGAGTGGGTCGAGCGAGGGAGGCGCGGAGTGCCGGACTCAGGCAGGCGGAACCTGGTTGCAATATTAGTGCAAATAGTATGAGCAGGGCCGAAATCATTGTTTTAATATTTTAGTTGTCTATGTTAGTTACATTCCGTGCCCTTGTAATGACAGACAACAGATCCCGCGTCTTCCAGGCATTTGTACATATTTATATTTTGATGGATTCACGAGATTAGACTGAGAACGCGGATTATGAGTGTCACGGTACTCGATCAACAAGTATAGCAGCACGTCGCGCGTCGCTACTCGCATCAACCGAGCTCACGACACAAGGGCGCGGAACTCTCGCCGTATCGGGTGGACACGCATGCGACTACGTCCCGCCAGACTACCCGCTGATAGTATTAAATCATTCATATGTTTATTTATAAAATTATTTGCCTAGTGGGTTAGCTTTTATAGTCGCGATACGAGTTTTTGTTTCACATAAATTAGTAAATTACGTTAGCTATGTTATGCTACGTTTTGAATGAAATGAAATCTTACTACTAATGAATTTTTAAACATTTTTCGTTTCAATATCGTTATCATTAAGTTTTATTTCGGTTTGATAGGATTTTATTTTTCGTTTTAATTATTATGCTTCCGTGCAAAGCAAAGTCTGTTGGAACGCTTTTGGAATCATACCACTGTAACAGAATTTGCTTTTAGCGGCGCTCGTCAAGTACCTTATTGTAAAGTGACAAATTATTGAAAACTGCAAAATACTTTAGTTACCTCATGTCATGTTCCTTAAACATCGTAGAAATCGATAATAGTATAAATTTATCAAGTTTGTTGGTATACCGTTTTACTGTGGAATCAACTACCGTTTGGTAGTTGTTAATTTTATTGGTACCTGAGTGTCGATTTTTAAGGAACACATGCAATCAACGTGAAGGTTGTTAGTTGCCTGTGCAAAATTTTTGTTCGGCATCGCACCGCCTCTTGCTGGAGGCGGGATTTTGTTTTAAATTATTTACGACACAAATTCTGGGGCCAAACGTACGAGAAAAACAAGTACAAATTATTAACAAAATTTTCTCGTAATTTAGTTAAGGAACGCTACTTCCATTGTTAACATCGATCGATGTTTTGTTTTTAGCGAATGATTTTATAGTCGGACGCGTTTGCATTGTAAACACGCAGTATATTGTGTAATGTGTGTCGGTTTATGTTCTACTCTTGCATCCTTGTAACTTATTGGAATTATTATTTATTTTAGTAGCGCTTGTCTGAAATCATTTAATCAATAATATTATTTGATGTTATTTAAGTAATACAGTCGGAACCTGAGTAATGTTTGTAGAGCGTCTGGTTTACGATGTGACTCAAAGTATACTTAATAGTAGGTCAAATAGTCTGGTTGTCTGCACCTAATATTTTCAAAGGCGTAAACCGGACACTATATTTACGTACTCAGGTTGACTTAAAAAATCCAATCTGGTAATTTGTTAAGAGAACCTCATAATGTTACGCTTACACAATAGCCGTCAGTATTTTGTAGTCCAATTCATTGGGATATACTCATTATTACTTCTTCAACTCTACGCCGATAGTTTGATGCGGATCTCAAAATGTTGGTATTGTTTGTGTAAGTTAGAAATGAAACTATCGGCGCGGGGCGAAACTGTTACAACGATTTTAGTCCGTACATAATAACGTCACTGCGACGGTCCACAGGGTCCTAATGTAGTATTTCAATACAGACAATATTAAAGTTAATTGAAACTTCACAATGAGTGGCGACGTAGGCCCGCTGTTTGCAATGTTGTCTCGACACGTGATGCGGGGTACATACTGATCTGATATCACTGGTAGTATTCTGTCTTACTTTCTGTCCCTAGATGTACTTATGTTATTGTATAAATCCGCGAGGTAGCCTAGTGTGAACTTTGTCAATGAACGGGTTGTAACCAGTCGAGTTTGCTCCTAGATGCAAACTAGCCAGTGTTGTTATATGAAACAGAGACTTTTCGACGGCATGTTTTGTGTAATACTTTATCTGGTTTAATGTAACAAATTGAAGGTGCAATGTTATAAATATGTATTTATAGTGTGTGAGCGCGGGAGGGACGCGAGGGAGCGCGGGGGAGCGCGGGGGAGCGCGGGGACGCTCGGAGTAACGATACGCTTGTTTGCGCCATTTGTTGTTGGTGTGAGGCCTGTTTGATTTGTATTCATTTGTGTTGAAAGACTGAGGTTGATTATTCCAGTTTCGACGAACGTGCGAGTTATTTGTTGATTGAATTTAAATATAAAGTCATATATATAGTTAGGTTATATTTTTTAATAAATATAATATTGAGATATGTAATATATTTCTGACTTTTATTCCGTAATAACTTCCTGTCCTACAACCACTTCAAATTAGACGCTTAACTAGTTCACAATTTATACATACATCTGAAAAACGAACTAGATAAAGGTCAAAACTTTTAATGTCAAAATATATGTACATAAACCTTAATATAAGGTGGACGAATTATTCTATTATTATATTAGCGTTTGTATTCACAAACTGGCACTTATTCAATTTCAACACTTACTTAACACTTAAATATTAACAAGACAACAATATCAGTCTCTTATGAAGTTGTCGAGGGGAAAATCTTTGAAGGAGTGGCTCCAGATGTCGGTGAAGGCAGTGCTGACGAGGTCGTTAATTAGTGGTCTAATGACTGCGAAGCCTGGCTTCCATGTGGCATTGATCAGTCGGTCCAACATGCGCTCTGCAAATACAACACGAGAGCATAGATAAATGGTTCAGTACCTATAAGGAGTTCTAACGTTCTTGCAAGTGCATAAAGGGTGCTGCAAAAATCAGGTTATGTTCTGTAAAATACTCAAAATTACTACATAATACTCTTACCAGTCATGTTTCTTATGTATATTGTATGCATATGGGACGAGGCTACTTATATCTACAGTGGAATAATATATTATGAAGCATGTTTGGTGCAGGTCTAACTACTGAAAAGACGTTTGTGTTTAAAAGTATCTTACGCATGTAAGTACCGAGTATTCCATTTCCCCGGACGAGGTTGCCCACATGTATCTCCATGTCGCCGATATGGTCCACTTCCACGTGCACGTCTACCCCTGTGCCGTTCCGCTTGATGCGCGTCGTTTGGGAGTAATCTCGCAATGTCATGTTCCACCGACCAGATCGGAGCACGCCCAAGCCGAACGCGTCACCCTGGAAAATAATTTGTATTTTTTTAATACACCGTTTATTCTCCGGAATCCTAGGGTAAGCAGAGGGTCATAGGATATATTTTTTTGGGATAAGGTAGCAAACATGCCATTTTTGTTTGGAGTCCGATTTGAAATGTTTTGTAATAGGGTAGACGACTAATTTTTATTTTAATGTCCGTCTGATAGATTATTTAAAAACATTAGTCACGTATTTTTTATTTTCTCACAGAAACGAATAGTTTCGAAGATATATTGATTTGAAATGTCGCGTGACGTCACTTCTCAGTACATTTTATACTAAGAAATGACGTTTTAGCCCCCACTCCTAAACTTTGATTCGTTTTATCTAAGTATTGTTTTATTATACGACAAAATAAAAAATACGTGTCTAATATTTTTTCATTACCTAACTTACGGACTAATTATATTTTTAATTTTCATACCCTGTCATCATCCCCATTACCTATTTCAGGCCCAGGTTACTGCCACCCAGTTCCTCAAACAGCGGGATTTATTGTACTAGTCTAGTAGACATACATTGATGTAAAATTCCAATTGCAAGTTTTTCAAGCATTCTGAAAAAAATAACCTAAAATTCAAATCACCCATGAGGTGACTCGGATAGAAAATTCTATCTAAACTTACCACGATGCCACATTATTACCTTCCTACTACAAAATTCTAGTGAATACGCCTTGAGACTTGAGAGAAGTTTAAATTATCTCGTGGTTGTGGCCTTAGTGCATACATATACAACATATTGGAGGTGATCGGCCACAATCGCCCGCAATACATGCGTGATACAAAACTTATGGAAAAATACAACAGGTCATCATATCTCACCTTGAACTCGTAGTCGCCATTGAGCCACTTTTCTGGGAAGTACTGTGAATAGATTATGCGCTGGTTCTCCCAGTCCGTTCTGTAAAAGAAAATAATTCTTACTTATTTCATTTTAAACGTTAGGTTAGGTTTTGGTAGTTCCTGTAAACTGTCAAAGATAACTCTTCTTAGGGACGAGGAGTAAGCATTCATTTCGGAAGTAAGTGCCCACAACGTAGTACCTACCTACTGAAACTGAATTATTTCTCAAAACAGTCCGTTATAGAACACCACTAATGAAGGATCATTTGTCACTTCAGACTTCAGAATCACTTCTGATCAATATTGTCAACGAAAACTTTAATAAAAACTGCTGTATTGATTAGGTATGTGCTGGACTGCAGCAGACATGTATGCACTATTGTTTATTGAAATTGCTGGCCTTTACCGAAAACAGTTAAACATTATTATTATTACAACTGTAGAGAGATTAATATTATTCTTACTTGTATTTAGTAACAACAGAATTTGACCAGCCCCTTTCAAAGACGTCGTTCAGCGTGAGTGTGTAGCCGACCCCGTTGATAGCGCGCACCTGCTTCACCTCCCGAGCGAAGTGAGGGTCGAACGGAGCCACGCCCATTTCGGGGATACCTGGACATAATACATGTTTTAAAATATTATGTAGAGATAAAAAATCATGGAAGGTGTGCTGAGGTTTCAGTATTTATATTGATAGAATGAAGGAGAGTGGGATTAGGAAAAGAACCTAATAAAAAATTCGTTCAGTGGTAATGTCCTTCGCCCTATAAAAACTTAAACTGCAAGGTCAGCTGTTAAGTACTCTGAACGATATGCTCTTTTGTTATTACCAATTCAAGTTATGAAATTTAAACTATTAGTTAAACCTTGCGTGATAAGATTTTAGCATACCTCATTGCTACCTTAAAGTATTTAACACCAACACTCATAAGATTGCTACAGATGAACAGTAGCTAATCAATCAAATAACAGTATTATGTACTTATCAATTGGTGATTACCACTATTAAACGACAAAAAATCTTGATTAGATCATGAAAATGTAGATTTTTTTGCAATAAAACATCGTGTACAACACAAAATCATACAATTTACATTCTAATGTTAATAACAGGCTATTTAACCAAGGTTTAGCTATTGACAATTGTAATTATTTTATCGAAAAGTGCGTTTCCTAATCAAATTACGTTACCTATGTAATTTTAAGATACCGATCTAATTTGTCTGCACAATTAAACTTTTGTAGCTGTTATTAACGTTACTAAAGCTTCATGGGCACTGGAGCGGTCACTATTGAGATGTGTCTAACGCAATATTTTAAGTAATACTTGGTGTAGTAGCGAAATATATGTTCAGGAATTCATCATGTAATGTAAGAATTTTCTCAAGTGTTTGCTTTGATGTCTACGTAGTGTTGTACTCACCTATTTTAAAATAGGGCCGCACCTTGTTGAAAGCTCTCTTGATACACCCATCGAAGTCTGGCGATGTTTTCTTGCATGCCGCAAATATTCTTTCTGAAAACAGTTAATGTAGCTGGTTAGTTTTTTATTGAATTTATAGCAACAGTTGCAGCAGTTTAATATCTTTAGTGGACACAGTGTATTGATAAGCAAAAACTTCAAAGAAGGGCCAGAGTTAGATTAGTTTGCTACATATGAGATTTATGTACCTACTAATATTTCGAAGAAGTGTCGGTCGCCCAGATATATTTTAATCCAGTTACTTAAATGTTATAGCATTTCCATCCATCATTTCAAGTAAACAAATAAGTCCATGTCCACCTACCAAATTCCACAGGTTCATAAGAGACATCGAAATCACAAAGTGTTTGGTTTCACAATAAAAACGTTTATTGATTGGCAGATTTTATGCGGTTTCATTCAAGAGACAGTATCAGTGGCGTTTTGCGCAACCTTGCGAATTTTGTGACTGACAACGAGAGACCCTGACAAATAAATCAACTTTAAATAGATTATGTGGGTCAACAATATGTGTAAGGTGTATGAACCCTTTCGTAAAAGTAGGACAATATGTTTACTATATATGATGGAATCTATTATTCAATGTGGATCAGTTGTTCCCATAACTAAGTCAAAGGTTTTGACTCAAAACCTACGGCGTAATAATGCTTAGTAATAATAGAGGTTAAAATAATTTGACAATTTCCTTTTACTAATTACTTAAATTCACACGCCTAGGTTGCAATTAATAACGCGATGAAAAATAGAATATACTTAATTTATTAATTTCTAAAAATGTGCAATAATTCATTGACAGAAGTTGAAATATGGGAATATAGCTAAACATTGTGACAACATTGTGAAGTCTAGACAAATATAGAGAGGTACCTATTTATCAAAGAAATCGACATTAAACCGTTGCAAAACGGCTAATATTTCGGACAGATTGCAGATAGCCATCAACAAACACAATCTGTAGTAACAATGCTATGCAATTGAATAAGTTCATGTATTTCAATTAACGTATAAGTTGCATTAAAGCTTTGTATTATTTCCTTATTATGCCATAACGTAATATTACAGACTTTTTGCAATGGAACTGGAGCGTTACAACATTGGCATTGGATAGCACCCTATATAGGCTTCAAATTGTTACCAATGTCCCAAAGGCCAAAACTTGTTTCGTCGCAGCGAAAGGTAATTAGTGCATTTGCTTGCAGTGAAAGGTAGTTTTCAGGCAGTTCAGGTGGTAGAGAATAAGGTTTTAAAAATAAGCCACAGAGCACTATTTTTTTATTTTTTTTTAAGGGGGGAAAATCATCGAATGACTGCTCCCGCCTGGGTGAGGCGGAAGGGAGTGTCAGACTCTTACTGACTAAAAACCACCCCGTTCCTTCTCCTGCACGTCGAGCCGGAGCCCCGGTTACCCGTTAGGTTCTCCGCGACAGCCACAGAGCATAGGTTCAAATTATGAGGCACTTCGGTTTCACAAGAAATACTGCTTGGTCTTAGACCTATCGTTGTTGAGTTATTGATTATCTCGCGTTGTTGTAAACTATTTAGTGACTTATGGCTAAAGCACCATATGAAACACCGCATTAACCAAACGTTCATCTCACCTTGGCTGCTTTGCATCACTATTTGTTGACGCTCAGGCGAGCAATGTAAGCCGCCATCTTGCCCAATGCATCCGTTACGAAAATGTATGTATCATGATTTCATATTTCGTACGTTGACACAATACCTTTTAACCTTTTTCAAGAACACAATGTTAATTGATAGCGATGGACCGATGAGATTACGACAAAATCTGAATATCTGGGAAGGTTACCCTTGCGAATGCTATTAATGACGATGAAACCGTCAAGTTACTCAATCTTAAACTAGGCCTCTAGTTTTATAGCAAAACGTTATCGGTAGGTACATATTTGTCACATTCAATATTCTCTGCACCTAATTAAGTACTTACCATGCCTTTAACTCAGCAGAGTTCTAAAGCGTTTTCAGTAATAGCATAGAGATGTACTAAAAAAATACTAAGAACTTAACAATACATTGAACTCGAGGTGCGAAGGCACTTTGGCAATCGCACTTACGAACATTCCAATAACAATACCTACAATTTAGTCAAGATCTAGATAAATCATACCTATACGTATATTATGAAAGATGAATCTACTTGATTTACATATTATTATGTAGGCAAACGATAGTGAAATGTAGTAAGATTACGATGACTCACGAAAAATATATAAGATACAGTAAAAAGAACTAACTACGAGTATTTAGTAATATGCTTAAGGAAGTTGGGAATTCTATGAAGTACAAACTGCCTCTTATTACATTTCGATATTTTAATTGAGTGGTACTTGGAGAACTGCTCGGACTGCTAGAGGGCAATGACAATGAGCAAATTATTGTAATAATAAAAAGCATTTTATGATCACTTTTCAAAGTCCGATATAAATACAAATGCAAGTCATTAAAGTTATAGCCAGTGGCGATATTCTGCAACGTTGCCCAATAATGTGCGGCACACGGGCTCACGTAACCGACTGTATATCCGTACTTATATTCATGGTAATGCCAACTATACCACCTATGGTTACTTTACTATTAACCCGTATATTAATGGTGCACTCGCTTCTATGTCAAGGAGGCCACTAAAGAAGGTTGAGGAGGAAAAGTAGAAGGTCTATTGCTTTGCTAATTGGTTGAATTCAACTTGTGGTTTTAAAGCAGAAATTTCCATTTCTTGATCTAAGACCACATTTACATCATTATTATTAGGTTAGGGGGTCCCTAATATCCCATTACTATTACTTTTTCCATTTAGTCTAGGTACTCTAAGATTTTCTCCAGCATTCTCTTCTTCTTTTTTCTCATAAAATAGAGACTAACTCTCGACTTCACTAGTTTGACTACGACTTACTAGTCGTACTAGACTACTTATGAATATGAGCGTCTAGCATGGACTAAAACTATCCTTACTAATATTATAAATCGGAAAGTGAGTTTGTTTGTTTGTTTGTTCCGCCTTCACGCCGTAACTACTAAATCGATTGATTTGAAATTTTGCAGACGTAAAGTTAGAAGTCTGGATTAAATAATAGGGTACTTGATATTCTCGAGGGAGAATGAAATTATTGGTATAGATGGCGCTGTGTGTATTGGTATATGTCACACAGGCTACTTTTTATCCTTTTGTGACGCGAGCGGGTAAAAGCTAGTTAGTATATATAGTCGAGTTCCTCGTCAAATAATTACGTGAGTAAGCCGAGAAACATAATAATTAATTTAGTATGTCTCACGAAGGTTATAATATAAATAAAATAGCGACTTTTGGATTATTGAAATCTGTCTCCTTTGATATAGGTACTTAAGTTTAATTCGAGCTGTAACCGATGATTGGTATTTATTGGATAGAAGAAGTGTGATCAGATCTCTATCTGAGTCTTGAGTGAGTCTTCTGTATTTTTTGTCTTCTGAGGATCACCGGTTGGGAAGCACTGTTTTAAAGTATAGGTCACCATTGTTGAGCGAGGAATGTTTGGTCGAGCTCTGTATCGCGAACAACACGCAAATTCGCACGGCCTTTACGCTAGTTCACATGAGATTTCAGTGTACTTATCGCGAACAGAATCAGTCAAATCAGTGACACGAAAGAGGACTTTGTTTTATAATATGAAATGACTTAATCGCTTGTATGATTTTCTTTTCAAAGTCTCTGTTTTTTCTAATCTGGGAGAGTAAAACTTATTCTTATAAGACGTGGAAGTCAAAATTCCAAAACTAAGTATAACTACGGTCAATAAATTTCCGTTCGGTACCTCAATGTATAAAATGCATTACAAAGTTCTTATGCTTTAAATCTATACTAATATTATAAAGCGGAAAAGTTTTTTTTTGTTTGTTTGTTTGAACGCGCTAATCTCCGAAACTACTGGTTCGATTTGAAAAATTCATTCTGTGTTGGATAGCCCATTTATCGTGGAAGGCTATCCTTACTAGTCCTTACTTTAAATAATATTATAAATTGGAAAGTGAGTTTGTTTGTTTGTTCCGCCTTCACGCCGTAACTACTTAACCGATTGCTTTGAATTTTTGCAGAAGTAAAGTTAAAAGTCCGGATTAAATAATAGGGTACTTTTTATCCCTATGACGATCTTACTACCAAGTCGTAGATACAAATTTCGGTGTTTCAGGTTTCATCAAATATTTATTGGTCGTCCAAAACACTCTTCAGTAAAAAAGACGACATATTTTTGAAAATGTAATACTTATAACAAGAAATACATAATATGTTATAATGTGTGAATGCATATTAGGTAATCAACAGAAATTTGAAAAATCTATAAAACACGTCATATCATTTGTATAATAATCAAATTAACAAGAACTATGAATATCAATACTTTGTTTGTTTATATTCGCAATATAAGCCGTGAAGGTCACGTTGGTTAAATAGTTAAAGTCAATATTTATCAGGAATTTTATGAGATATTAAGGTTGGGCAAAGAGATATGGAGCCACGATTTTAGCGATTAAGTAATCTATAAATATGTGGGTGTGAACTACAATATTCACGAAATTATGACACAGTAGGTATGCTACGTGTTCTCAAGGTATAAAGAAAGAAAGAAAGAAAGAAAGAAAGGAAGAAAGAAAGAAAGAAAAATCATTTATTCGACAGTAGGCACGCACACAGATACAAAAAACTACAAAATTAAAAAAAGAAAAGAACAAATAAATACACATATTTATACAGATATAGAAAAAAACACAAAGAAACGACAACGTATAACAAAACAGTGACAATAGAATACTAACACAATTAATAAAACCTTCTTTCTACTTTTATTTAGAAAAATATCGTCTCCTAATTGGAGTATTAATTAAAGTCAAAGTCAAAGCATATATTTCAGTTAATTCTCAATTAGGCACTTTTGATACATCGAAAATTGAATTGTCCGTCCGTCTATCTGTCAGTGAAGCTAGGCGGTACATTGAATGTCCTTATTGATTTCTGAAACGACGATAGGTAATGGTGAAAAAACCTGAAAAAACTGCACAGTTGGTGCGGTGGCTGGGCAACCGGCTGCCGTGCAACGTGTCGCGGGTTCGATTCCCGCACGGGACAACACTTTGTGTGATCCACAAATTGTTGTTTCGGGTCTGGGTGTCATTGTGTATGTGAACTTGTATGTTTGTAAACGCACCCACGACACAGGAGAAAATCCTAGTGTGGGGCAACATTAAAAATAAAATGTTTTAGAAGATCGAGGTGTGTTTTCAGGAGATTTTATACATACATAATTTCACGACTGTATCCCATGGGGGTAGGCAGAGACTATGGAACGCCAATTACTACGATTCCTACATACCTCTTTCGCTTCATCAACAGTCATCAATCTTATCAAGCATTCTGGTCGCTTAAGGGTACTTTTAATTTGGCCCTTCTTTAATCTATTGCCAATATGGTCAGTATATGTCCGTCTAGGGCGCCCTCTACCGACGGCCCCATTCATATCCGCTCTGTGTACTTCTTTCGTTACTCTACTTTCATCCATCCTTTCTACATGTCAGAAATTTTATCAAAAATATAAATTGTATTCCAGGGTTTGCATAGAATTTGAATAACTACGGCGCAACGTAATATGTTACTATCTCTAAAGATAAACAACTTAACCTGTTGGAATATGGTAGGTACCCTAAATTTGTTCATACAAAAGTAGTCTCTAAACATGGGAAATAAGGTCTATAATGAAGTTAGTGGAGAGCGGTCACCGGTGACGCTTGGGGATTAAGGTTTTTTTACACGACGAACTAAATTTAATCGACTTCAAATGACGGAGGTTCTCAGTGTGATCTGTATGTATGTATGTATGTATGTATTTTCATGTGTATTTATGTGTGTATGTATGATTGTGCGCACTTATCTCGCGACTGGTTGAACCGATTTTGTTGAGATTTTGAGAAAAATGCTCGTTACACTCAGGAGAAGGTTTTAGTATATTAATTATCCGACTGCAAAAAAGTGGAGGAAACCTGGGCTTATAATTTCTAATTATAAGTCTGTAGTCGCCAACCCGCATTGAGCAAGCGTGGTGATTAATGCTCAAACCTTCTCTGTGTGAGAAGAGGCTTTGCTCAGCAGTGGGCATTTATAGGCTGTTGATGATGATGATCTCGTTTTTTTAATCGCCATTTTTAATTTGTATGGTATAGGTACAACAAAGAGTTTTGTACTGCTTGTACAAGATCATAAATGTATGATGATCTATTACTATTTGTTATTTTGGTCTCCTTGAACTACGTGGGTTTAATATTTGATCTTGAATTGTTATATTAAGTACCACGGGTTTAACATTTTCTGTTTAGAGGTTAACGGTTATTAGACCTTCAATGTTATTTCCTATGAGTTCTTTTTAAAGTTGTGAGGAAACCGTATCATTAAGTATAACTAAATTAATTATGATTTATAGCGTTGTTTTTATATCAAACTAGCTTTTGCCCGCGACTTCGTACGTGTAATCCCATTTTTTCCCGTCCCCGTTCGTGATTTTCGGTAAAAAGTAAAAAAAAAATTTGGTTAAAAAGTATCCTATGTGGGTCTCCTGGCTCTAAGCTACCTCCCTACTAATTTTCAGCCAAATCTATTCTGCCGTTCT